TTTTTCAGCCTACCTCTGTGATACTCAGAATATTCTCTGCATCTAAACATCAGCATAGTAGTGTTTATATGTATTATGGTACACTTGAGAACATTTTATTATGAACGGAATCCCAAGATCAAACCCAAGAAGCTGCCCAAAGCTGCTGGGATTACAGGCATGCACCTGAACATTACACATCAACAACACTCAGTTCAAACTTTTATCATTTCTTGATGGTAAAAACACTTCCTCTTTGTAAAGGACTGTGCTGTGGTGGCAACAACTGGTCTTCATTTACTGTGAGGGGCAACTGTGGTAAAGGGCAACCATGGCCACCAACCCATTTACCCATCACTCACTACTCAAAATGAAGAACAGAGTATCACATAAGGGAAATCTCAGCCAGTCTGCAGGGTTTCCAGTCTATATGATTTCTTGAGGAATAAAAAAAAATTTTTAAATTTAAAATTGTTCTCAGTCTCAACTAATTCAGTTGTTGCTCAGAAAATTGGAAATAATCTACTCTTGAGTATCTTCCCAGCATAACATTCTCCAGACTCAAAATATATTTCCCAACTTTAAACAAAAGTTCTCAGATTTGCCAACACAATATAACACCCATGTAACTATATACCAGAAGTGAGAAATTGTCCTGTAAAATCCAGATTTAAAAATTTGAGAAGGAAGCAGGAGCTTGGCACTGCTGATGGGACATAGTGGACTCACATGTATGCTCTAAGATGTGCCCAGGGATGCTGATGTCTCAGAATAGAATCCACTTAGCAAGAGGAAAAATTCTTTAATTGATGATGTAGGAAATGAATGTTTTTGTTCCTGTAAACTAAGCCATCAAATGATTTCTGTTAAAACCTTCTGGGATTTATAACGAAATTGTATTCCCTTTCCCCCTTTTTCTTTTTCTTTTTTGAATTCAAAGAGATGCACATGCTGTACAATTAGTCTTGTCCTGCTGCTTCACTCTCTCTCTCCCTGTGTGATTTCTCTTTTCCCACCATATGAATCTTGGAAGCAGTTGGTCTGGGAAATGATAGTTGCAGACCATTTTGACATTGTTTAGATCCTTTCTGAATTTTTAAAAGTAATCCAATTATAAGTGTTTGAGGGATTTTCAGTCATTTTATCTATAGACATATTTGAGACATTCTGTCTTACCTTAAAATCACCCAATGCATCTAAAGCTTCTAATCAAATTGCCAGAGGAAGTCAAATGCAAGGAGAGTAATTAATCTCCTTGCATCCACAAGGCAGCATCCTCTGGATGCCCATTTTCTGCCTGGCCCTTTGGAGCCAGGACTGGCAGAAACCTAGAAAGGAAATGAAGAGGTGAAGCTGAGTTCTCCCACTGGGGATTAAGGAGCAGCAATCAGAGCCTCACCCTGATCACATGACCAACTCGAGGCCAAGGAGACTCGCAAGGGCATTTTAAAACATCAGACCAAAGAAATCATAAGGAGATCACAGACAAATGTGACCATGTCAAAAACTCCTTTTAAGTTATTGTAGATTTCAAAAGAGCCAGAAGAAGAAAGGATTTTGAATATTCCCAAAACAAAGAAATTATAAATGTTTCAGACAATGGAAATGCTAATTACCCTAATTCGATCACTACACATTAGATAGATGTATCAAAATAGCATAAACATGTAGCATTACTGTGTGTCAATTAAAAGTAATTTTAATGTAAAAATAATTTTTAAAATCTATTTTAGCAATAATAAGATGCATTGACTTAAATAAACGTAAAAAGGGCAACATTGATTTGATATTTAATTTTTAAAATAATATTCCTTTTCATCCAGTAATTTCACTTCTGTAAAAGTAACTCTAAAGAAACGATTCTCAAAGCAGAAGAAAATCAATGGCAAAAAGAATATATCTGGGAGAATGAAATGGATGCTCAAGAAATGGGCAGAGTCTAGATGTTCACTCAATGGCCTGTTGGTAAAGTATTTTTTTTAAATAACACGGGGTTTGCACTCACTTATTTTAATAAATCCCCATAGTACTTTGAAATGTGCTATCATCTTTCTCTACCTTCCCCCACAAAAGATATATAAGCCAATCCCGTGCTAACACACAACAAGAAGGGTAGTGGGGAAGAATAGAATTCAGTGGATTAGAAAAAGGGGAACGGGGACTGGGACTGGGGTTCAGTGGTAGAGTGCTCATCTAGTGTGTGTGAGGCCCTGGGTTCAATCCTCAGCACCACATAAAATAAATAAATAAAACAAACGTATTGTGTCCAACTACAACTGAAAAATAAATATTTTTTAAAAGGGGGGAATGAGGGGAAGGGAGGGGAGATGGAAATAAGAAAGTAGAATGATTGGACATAACTTTTCTATGTTCATATATGAATACATGACCATGAAATTCCCCATCATGTTTAACCACAATAATCGAATCCTAATTAGAATAAGTTATACTCCATGTATGTATACATCAAAATACACTCTTACTGTCGTGTATATCTAAAAAAGAGAAATATATATATATATATATAGAAAAGAAGAAACAAAAATGCTCAAAATACTTTAAATGCATAAGATCAATATAAAATATTTCAAGTAAATATTTCTAAGTCAGGGTCTTAGAAAAAGTAGAATTAAAATTCTTTGAAATGTTTAGAAATCATCCATGTAAATATGTAAAGATCTCTAAAACAAACTGATACAACTCAGTAGATCTAGAAAGAATTCTTCTGTAAGTGCCATTTGTCCATTTGATAAGCACATATTTTATAACAGTGTTCTTAGTAGATTATCAGGCAAAATTGCCTCAGGCATATTGACACATGACCTGGTCTCAAAGACCCCCAGGTCTGTTTCTGAGTCAAGGTCAGCTCCAGCACATGACTTTCTGCCTTGTTCCCAGGCCCTGTGCCCTAGATCTGAACACCTGCTTGGTAGCCCCTGTACCCCAGGGTCCTGGGCTGGGGTTCTGGCTCATGTAACAGATAATAAGAGCTATTGTAGTGGCACCCCCTCCTCCACAGAAAAACTTAATTAAGCTTCTCCAGAAATCTTCACCTTAATTGATTTTAGAACTATCAGCAAGAGTCTCTACAAAAAGAGTTCAATGTAGTTAAACTTCCTATTTTCCTATTGCTGTATTTTACTTGGCCACTGACCTGGAAGAGATCTGCACTCCAGATGCTGAACTCCCCTTTTCTTAGTTTTTCACAAACATTTATCCAGTATTGTAGTTTGGAAAAGTGTGTTTGCAAATGCAAAATGTGATTAAAAAAAAAAAAAAAAAAAAAGACAGATCTTTTAACAAGGCCTCTGGCCTGAGACGGAGCTTCACGGAGATGTCTACATTTCTAAGATAAGAAAAGTTACCAGTTGGGCTCCCTAGTAACAGCTGGCAGGGGAGGAAAGAAAGGGGAGAAGAAGCTCTCTCCTTCTCAGGCACTGTCCTTGAAGGGTTAACTTGCCCAGAACACTAAAAGAAAAGGCTGCTTTCATGTGAAATTCTGCAGACTATTAACTTCTGAGCCCCTCCCCTTACACGCTGGGTATAAAGTTCTGAAACTACCTGAACTCAGGGTTCAGGGGATTAATTGATTACAACAAAACGGTACCCTCTGAACCTGACTGCAGTAAAATAAAACTGTTTCCTGCTATCTTCAGTGCTCTGCTTCATCTGTCCCCTACAACACTATCTAATGAGTTGTTAATCAAGTAAAATGGAGGATAGAATAAATGGAGTCTCTCCCCACACCTGAAGTTGCTGATGGACTTGCTCTCTGCTCTGTTGTCTGGTAAATAGCTCAGTAATTTAAAAATTCGCCCCTTTGTTGAGTTCTTAGTGCATACTGTGTATGCATTAAGACATTTCTGTTCTCATTCTTGCACTTCCCACTCAGTTGGTACAAATCTACAATTAACTTTACTACAAACAAGCCACTTCTTATGGTAACTAGCAAATAGAGATTGATATTGTGAAATCACAGTCAGGTCTTGGACTTGGGGTAAAGTCTTTGACTGAGAATCTTAGTGCATGGCTAAGAGGGGAAGCCAAAAGTGACAATGGAACAGGGGGCCATTCTGCCTGTGGCTGGGAAAGGAAAGTGGTCCTACTGACGTTTGCCCCAAGGATGAGCATGGGCTAGGCATCCTGTTTTACAGGATCTCTAATCTCTCTCATATTYTTTCTTACCATGAAACTAGGAAATTCCTTCATTTCCCTTAGACTCAGTCTCAGAGGGTCATCATGCTCGTGAATGTGACCCCACTTGATAAACATAAAAACATGATGAAATATTAATTTGGTTATTTTTAACACCATGCTCAGGTATTTGGGACAAATCTTCCAGAATATACAGTTCTAAAAAGATCTCATGGCCAATATTCACTGCAGGCCCTGGACCGTGGGACAAAAGCTAAAAGCACTTGATAAACATAAAAACATGATGATATATTAATTTGATTATTGTTAACACCATGCTCAAGTATTTGGGGTGGCCATATCATTATTTCTGCAATGTACTTTCAAATAGTGTGGCGGTGGGGAGAGTGTATAGAATGAAACAGAAAAGAAAAAAGTCAAAAAGGAAAAATTAAAACCAAGCCATGATGATACCTCTCCTGGACTCTACTATGTGAACATGGGCATGATCCTTGCTGTCTCTAAGCCTTTTTCTTGAGAGGTAAAGATGGAGAAATTAAGCCCTGTCTGTCGTATTCCTTAAGTGTTTAATGAACGCCAGCCAAGGTAATAGATGTAGAGTGTTTTGCAAACCATAAAACCTTGAGTACAAGGGGCTATGGCTGGGTTCCATGGGGAGTGCAAGTCATCCCTAGATCACCTGGCCAAGCTTCCCACCTTGGGCTGCCCAGACTCCAGCCAATCAGTGCTTCTCCGGCCACCTTAACATTATATATGCATGATCAGCCTCTGGCTTCTCCCCTGCTCCCAGCGCCAGTTGCAGGCAGGCAATCCTGCTCCTGAGAAGGGGAGGACAGAGCAACTCTGCAGTTCCTGTTTAGAAACCTCCAGTTGCAACAGACCCTTGCCTGCCAGCTTCCTAGCTCCCTGGCTGACATCAGGGATCACAGGCAGCAGGTCKGTTCCCATGAAAGCCTCAAGGGCATCCCAGCGCTACAGAAGCATCAGGAGAAATGCCAGCCAGCACTACCTCTACCAGGAGTCCCTGCTGCTCAGGTGAGTAGGTCCCCTTCATCACCTGGGCAGAAGAGGCAGGTGTGTGAGAAAGGGATGCATGTTTGTGTCACCTAAGACAGGGACAACATCTCTCTCGGTTGTGCTTGGTTCTTCAAAACAAACTCAGAAACTTATTTCTACAGGTTTCATACAACTAAGATGGCAACATGAGCCAAGGAAACAGGGAGAGATGGTTCTAAGCTGCTGGTTCTCGATGAGGGGATCAGACTCCCAAAACCTGTATCCCAGACTGGCTTTATTGCTGCCAGTTCCATAAATGTGCTTTGTCTTTGTTCTCTGTTTACTCAATCAGCAACGTTGAGAGAAAGCAGATAATACATCTGTCTCAATAAATAAGGTGTTTCTTGGAAAAGGCGTCTGAATAGTTAGAAGTGGGTGGAAGTGCTATTTGAGTTTGTTAAATATTTATAATGAATATTTTGTTAAGTATTATGACCTCCACTTACTTTAGAGAAATTGGAGGAAATTCTCTATTGAGTAAGCAGAAACAATATGAATGAAAATAATAAAGAAAACATTTTCTAACAGCTACAGAAGAATCTTCATCTCCTGAAAAGATTGCATTAGGATTAGCATATCAATTATTACTGGAAATGAACCTCACTACACATCAAATATTGTTCTTCTAGAGAATAACCATTTCCCTGACATGTTTTGCTCATATACACTCATTTAGCTAATTTCTTGTTCATGGAAACTGCTGCCTCTGTTATCTCAGGTTTAAAATGAATCAAAGTGGAAGGGCAGAGAAGGGTCTTTGGGTGACTGAAGTTTGACATTTATATATTTCATCTGCAGAATTGAGAGCTAAGGAGAAATCTCCAAAATTATTTCAATGATCCTATTAAAAAATTGTTTTGTCTACCAAAATTGCTGCTATTCGGGAATTGCATCATATAAATAAGTCTCCTCTTGCTTCCTTTTGTGTCTTCTGATGGTTTTTATCCTCATTATAATTATACATAATAGTGAGATTTATTATGACATATTTCTACATGCACATAAAATAATTTGATCAAGCTTATTCCCCAGTACCTCCTCTTTCCCTCCCCTCTTCTCTACCCTATTATCTTCCTCTCCTCCATTGGTCTCCCTTCTATTTTTTCCAATATTATATTTCATCCTGAGAAATTTTTCTCTTTCACTGACCTCAGAAGTAATAGAATCTAAGAAATGTGTTTAAGTGGGCTGCTAACACTGCCAAATTCTCTCTCCACCTTCATGGATCCTTACACACACACTTCATACAGTTAACCCTGGGGCAGTCAGATGCTGAACTTTCCCCAGGAAAGATGATCTTCACTGGAAGCAATTCTACTAATCAGATTTCCTCCTTAATGCCCTGATCCATTCAGTAACTTGGATGACAGCTTTAATGCTGATGAAACAGGGGACAGCAATGATCCGGAACAAATCTTCCAGAATATACAGTTCCAGAAAGATCTCATGGCAAATATTCGCTGCAGGCCCTGGACCATGGGACAAAAGCTAAAAGCACTGAGGTAAGGTCCTCAACAGCAGTTACTAGTTACTGTAAATATACTTTCCAGTAAGCCTCCAGTCCCTGCCCATGGAAACAAGGAGACAGATCCCCATGAGAAAGGTGCCCTGGTGGCTCTTGACCTGACCCAGAGAAATCACAGAGGTGTCTGAGGGGTCTGCCTGGTCCATGTAGCCAGGGTATGTGTTGGGGGGAAGGGTGTCTATATGGGGTATATATATGTGTCATTTGTGTGTGTGTTGGTGGAAAGTTTTTGGTCTTCTACCTCTACTCCAACAGTAGGTTTTAATATTGTCTCCAAACTTATAGGAGACAGGTACAAGTCAGAATGAAAAGAGATGTTCATTTTAGTTTCCCCTAGAGGGGAAATAATCTCCATGGGAAGCCATATTATCATACTTAAGAGTCGTTTTACAAAGTGTGTCTGTATAATAGTTAAGTGCTAAGGATTCAAAGACAGATTTCCTGAATTCAAATACTATCTGTCAATCTCTAGTCATTGGATATTGGAAACTTTTCTTGGTCTCTCCAAACATCAGTAAAGTTGAAGTGTTAACAAGGAATAGCCCGAAGAAATAATCCCAAAAATGTCAACTGCTAAATTCTCAGAGTGCTATTTAAAACTCAAAGACCCTGGCTGCCCTCAGACCTGTTGAACCAAACTGTGGGGGAAGGCCCTCCGTTTTGGCAGCCACCTCCTCTGACTCCTCTTTCTCTTGTTCTTCTCCTTTCTCCTTTCCTTCTCCACTTCCTCYTCTCCCTTCATCTTCCAATGCTAGAACTAGAGCTTTCACTCAGAACTAGAGCTTCTCACAGGATAGTCAATGCTCAACTGAGCTACACCTCTACCTTCCCTGGTATTCTAAACATGCATTCAAGTTGATTCTTGCACAAACTCAAGTTTGAGACCAMGGGACAGCAGTCCCTTGAAGGAATTGCACTGTATCGGGCAGGCAGCAAGAGTGACTGATGACTGCTTATGCTGATGCCAGGGATCCCAGCAAGGGGAACTAGTAGGATGGCCTCCATCACCTATGCCAATGAGCTACTGTGAACTAGCAGAGCACCCTTGTAGCAAAGCAGTCACCACCCTGGCCATCAGGCAACCACTGTGTGGACAGAACCACTGTCACACCTTGCTCTTTAATGCCATTTTCTAGATGCCAACCAGACATTCCTTTCTCTCCATACCTACCATCTAAAGAGCTTACACTTTCCCATCAAGTAAATCACTCTTTCCTTAGGATTCCATTCAACGCACTGTTCTTCCAGTTGGACTAACCTGCCCCTCAGGTGGCTGCAAAAGTTAACTAGTCATCCATAGTTTGCACCCTCAGAAGGTTCCAATTAATTCTCCTTTATCAGCTCTCATCATTTCTACTCTTGGAGGTAAAGATAGCCCTATGTTCACTTTTCAGCTCAGAAGATTGACACTCAGAGATGTTAAAAGACCAATTAACCTATGCATGGCTTCTGAGTGCAAGAATTAAGCTTTAAACAAGATTTTCTTCTGACATCAAGTCCAGGGTTCCATGATATTGAAACACAGGAATTTTATCAAAGTGATCATTGGAGAAATTAATTTAAAAAATAAAAAGAGCATATGTTTCACTACAACTTAAAAAAAATCATTTAGAAATGATGACTAATTGTTACCTATATAATAGGAAACTAAGCTTTTTTAACCTTAAGGCCAGAACAGAGAAAAGTATTGCTTTATTGTCAAGGCACTTCAGAAACAAAAGATAAAACCAGGACTTCCACCATGATGCTTGGCTGCATGACTCAGCAAGAGCTCCAAGCAGGCTAATGCCAGCCATGCATCAGCCAAAGGTAAGGCAGCTTGCCCTCTGAGCACTTCCATCTCTCATCCCCTGCCACACACATCTCTTTTCCATCACCTTAAGAAGCTACTGGAGCAACACCTCACTAATGGGACCTGCTGAGGCTTATCACGGCACTTGAGTGGAAGCTACAGAAAGCACTGATCCCTGACTGTGTGAGAATTAAGGGTGTATCATCTAACACAGATAAAAAGCCACTTTCTCAGAGGACATGGCATACTCCTGTTTCCCCTGAAGGGAACTGAGTGGTCAGATGGCTGGGATCAACATAGTTCTATGACCCAGCCTAGGTCAGATCCACCCCTCCTTGCCACCTCTGCACCTGATCACCCCCCCGGAAAGAGCACATGCTATTCCACTCTTTGTATAGTTAGATCTTTAATCCTTTCTAAGTGACACACTCTTCCAGGACATTGACTATGCTTTATACATGTATTCTACTGCACTTAATCCAAAACAAGTATACAGAAAATRTTTGCAGGAAAAACATCATAAGTAAATACACAAAATAAATTATTATTTAACTTGGATGGGTTCTCATCTTCTAGATGTATTTAGCATGCAACTGTATTGAAGATGACCCCCAATATGGTCCTGGTGTGGAGTAGGACATCAACCTCACCCTTATCTGCTCTTCTTATTTTGACCAGAATGAAGCCAGTCCCTTGGATCAGCTATGATAATGAGGACATTGCATTGAGAAGGCAGACGCCAAAACCCAGTACTCAGATTAGGTCATGTTTTGGAGAGTCACCTTGGATATGGAAAAGGGAGCTGTCTAGTTGCATTTGTCTCCTAAGGGAAGACTCACAACTGGTGGGTGTTACTGGGAGGTTGTTGGAAGACACACAAAAGAACACCCCAATGAGTAAACTTGTCAAACTGGCAAACTGGCTGATTCTGAAGAACTAAGTTCTTTATCACTGAGTGCAATTAAGCAAAGGGTATTTGACAGCCAGATAAGGAGGATCTCTGCATTGGAGTCACATATATCTATCTAAGTTGCTTTGAGGGGAAATATTCAGTCTGTCCTACAGCACTAACATTTATTTTCTAATCCTTTTGCTCATTTAATTGTGAACTTAAGCAGCTATTCCAAGGAATTCATTATATTTTTATGACTCAAACATTTAAATTGAGAAATCACACCAGCTCAACAAAATGATCAATAATGTGTCAATAGTTTGATTGGAATGATTCAGGTTGCTCCTGGCTATCTAAACACAACATTTTCCTCTCGTTAACCAAACACCACCCTTTTCTTGAAGCCAATTCTCTGAAGCCAGGTCTGATTATCACTTCTAAAGACTTGACTGAAAGAGAAAGGTTGATAGGTTGAAGAAGCCAAGATACTCCACCCTGCTACAGATTTCCAAAGCTAGTGATTCCCAGCCAAACTCCTGAATCAGAGAAGGACTTTAAGAAATTCAATTTAACTAATTTTGGCATGAATTCATCATTTTAGGTTAATTCATCTATTTAAGTGCTAAAGAAAAACAATTGGAAGGAGTTTTCTGGTTAACAAAAGTCAGGAAATGAAATATTAGTTTAACTCCACCCTCCCACAGCATCCTACCCTGCAGGTTTGGTATCCATTTCTATTACATCTTCACATATTTTTCAAAAACTGGGTGATAAAATTGTGTTCACTCTCATTTCCCTTTTCTCAGACGAGCAAAGGAGATTGTGCTGAAATTTGAAGGGAGGCTGACCAGGACCCGAGGCTACCAAGCAGCAGGTGCAGAGGTAAAGCACAGGCACATGGGCACAGCCATCCCTTCCTGGGGTCTCCAGGGCTAGGAAGCTGCACTTGCCATTGGACATAGGTTGTGTAGGGCAGGATGATGAGCCAGAAAATCTGAATTCCCCCAAATTCGATTTTAGTCCCAGATGTCATCCCTTACTAATTGTGTGACCCCGATAAGCTAAGATCATCAGGAAAAGATGACTTCCCTGTGAGAATAATCTAGTGTCCATTCTGACCTAACCCCATCCACACAGGTAGGTATTGTTTGCTGTGTCACTGTGTACAGTTGTATCACTGAATCCCTCGCAATGAGAGAGGCATATTCCAGCTCTCACTTTATAATATAGTGTGAAGGGTTTTGATTGTTATTTTCCCCAAGCAGTCTCAAGCAATTATTTAAACTAAACTTTAGTATACCTTAAAAATAATATGTTTATAAAGATATTTCATATATCTTTTTAGAAAACAAACAAAAAATCACTTCCATGGCCCCCACCCCTAATATAGTATATTTTTAAAAATCTCATATGTCAATCATTGCATAAATATGTCCTTTTCACCTCAGAGTAATTGTAACTTACACACATTTTTGTTTTGCTACTTTTTCCACTTAATACTTAAAGTTTACCTATATTGCTTATGGTCCTTTTTAGACTTAACCGTTTTTAATGACTGTTTAATATTCTATCAGATAAGTGTATATTAGTTTAATTAATCATTTGCCTGCTAGTAGATATTTAAATTGGTTCTACTTTTCATTATTATTAATAACTCTGCAAAGACAATCTTTGCATATAGTTTTTCCTCTTTTTAAATTTTTTTTCTTAAGGGATSCCTGTAGAAAAGACTATAATCCCTTTTTTTTGGCTCTTGGTAAATATTAAAAAATTATTTTCCAARAGTCTTTTTCATAAGCATTGTCTCACACAATGCAATAATTTATTGGTCTCATATGCATCAATGTTGAGTATCRTATTTTTAAAAAGTTTATTTTAACAGAAAATTTGATAAATATACTCTCACTAAATTCTCTGAAACAACATATTCTTAATAAAATTTAAATTAAAGATGATCATAAATTTACATTTAAAGCTGTCCTGCTTTTGCAGGTTTCATGTACTGAAATTCTCAAGCAATATCATAAGCAAAGCCACTGATTGATTTCTACTGCTCCTTATACAAATGAGCCAGCAGCATCCCAAAGAAAGAGAATGACTTCCCCAGCAGCACAGAGTAAGAGAGATGAGGAAGTGGAGCTAGAACTCAGGTCTCTGGCTTGCCACGCCTGTTTCCTAGACCAAATGTTGGGGTGGGGGTACCAGTGATTGAACTCGGAGCACTCTACCACTGACCCATGTCCCTAGCCTTATTTTGTATTTTATTTAAAGACAGGGACTCAGTTGCTTAGCATCTCGTTTTTGTTTAGGCTGGCTTCAAAACTGAAGTCCTCCTGCCTCAGCCTCATGAACCACTAAGATTACAGGCATGCACCTGGCTAGACTTTATATTTTAAAGCAGGACACAGACCCAAACACTTTCTAACCCCAAACTTCTTGCTAAAAGATGTCTGAGAGCCCGTGACTCTGAACACTATTGGGGACAGAGATCAGAAAACCTTTTGTTTTCTGATTTTGTTCTTTGCGCTTGAGGAGATAAACCATACGAACCAAATACAGGTAATGCAAGGTAGGGCATGATGAATGTTATAAGACAGACTAGGGAGTTTATAGACAGGACAAATTTATTTTTGGCTACAGAAAAATCTGTGTGACAGCTTCATGGGAGTGGCCCTATTTGAGTTGGCTCTGGAATCATGAGCAGAAGATGAACAATTCCAGCTTCTGATAAAATTCAGATTTTCATTTCCAAGCAGCCGTCTGGCCTTAGCAGACACATCCAGAATGACATTATCATACATGTCTGTATCAGGACCGTGTGCTGTCTTACAGTTCAGAATGTGGTAATCACATTTGTAACCCTTCTTTGTGCAATGATATCATTTGCTTCCAACACAAACCAAGATTGTTTGTGTGTTAAAATGCACAACCTGCCAACTTTGTCCAAGAGCACAGCCAGTGTCAGGACACATTTTGCTTCATTCTTCTTTGAAAAAAAAAATTTTTTTTCCAAACTTTTAACAATTGCATTTTAAATCCACAAGATAAATTTCTAGACCTTATTCCTGACAACTTCAACCTGGGAAACTAACCCTGCTCAAGATACAAAACACATATTGGGTGTGGCTCATTTTCACAGTAGGCTCTAAATTCTTGGGCCTTAAACAGAATACAGGTGTGGTCACTTGGTGATTGTGTTAGCTGTATGGATTTCTGGTCCCCACTCCCAGAGCTACCTTAGGTCCATGGCAGGTTCAAGTGGTGCCTTTAGACATCATTGGAAGTCTGACATTCATCCCTGCATCAGGAATGCTATAAACAAGAGGAGCTACATCCTTAAAGAGTATGCATCTCAACGCAGACACCACAGCTTAGAGCCCAGAGCAGTTGTCCACTCATCTGGTCAGAAGCACAGAGAAAGACAAGAGTGCTACTTTGGTCCTAGAGCTGCTTAATGGCCTATGAAGCCATCATTAAATGTACCAAAGGGTATGTCTGGGAGTCCCTCCTCCAGCTAGGACCCTAGTGCTACAGGAAGTTCTCTAATCCTGTCGTCTCCTTTTTAGCTCTGGAGGAAATTTGCTCGTCTTGCCTGTAACTTTGTGGTCATCTTCATTCCCTGGGAAATGAGGATAAAGAAAATTGAAAGTAAGTAATCGCACCTGGAAAAGGGGTCAGGGATGCAGGATCAGTCATCAATCCACAGCCTGGGAATAGTCTGGTGTGTGCCAGTCCCCACAGTGTGTAGCTGGGGAGACTTGCATAGCAGGGCAAAGCAAGAAGACCTGGTCTGTCCCCAGCAAGACAGGAATAATCCCCATGCTTCTTTGCTACATTCCAAGATAGCTCTGTTTGTTCTCTCCCAGTTCATTGAATCAGACACATCAAACCACCAAAGATGAAGTGAAAAACTCTGAGGATAAATAAGATGGTAATGTAAGGAACTGCAAAACACACACACACACACACACACACACAAAATCACATTTTCATAGAAATAGTTGTGTTTAGAAAATATGCTAAAAAAGTAAATAAAATCACATTTAAACACACACATAATAACACAACACACATAGACTTCTATCAATAAAGTTGGTAATAATTCTGAAATAAAGGAAACTGTAATATTGGACTATAAAATATAAAAGTTCTATAAGGAGATATAAGAAGATTTAATATTGGGGAGATTATGAGTTCTAACATTAATTTACAAGTTTAATGCAATTCTAGTAAAAGTCTCAATGTATTGCTTTACGTATTTGACAAAATAATCACAAAACTTATAAGKAAGAAAAACATTGAAGAGATCAATTAAACAAAAATTTGAAGGAAAAATACAAATGAAGTTTTGTGACCAAAATCTTAAAAATACATTAAAAAGCTAAACAATCCAAAGAGTATAGCGTAGTGCAGAAATTTAATGACAAATCAAAGTAATAAGAAAAAAAAATCAGAAGCAGAAATACAGACCTTTAGCATATGATAATTATTATAATCTAAATTACTACATAAATATTGCTGGAATAATTGATTCAATTGTTTTAAACAGTAAGTTTAATTCCTTTACTTTAAAATTGAATTAAAAATATTTTTAAAAAGAAATGTTTAATATATATATATATATATATATATATATATACATACATATATGTATATATATAAATCTAGGGCTGGGGTTTTAGCTCAGCGGTAGAGTGCTCACCTAGAATGGGTGAGGCCTGGGTTTGATCCTCAGCACCACATAAAAATAAATAAATAAATAAAGGTGTTGTGTTCAACTACAACTAAGAAATAAATATTTTTAAAAAATAAAAATAAATCTAAAGTTAGCTTTAAAAAGTGGAAAAATATTTTTAATGTTTAAATGGAATCAAGCAATTTCTTACTTTTTAAATTTAAARTGAGATGTATTTGCAAAGAACTTTTACAGATTTGTAAAATGAAATTTTCAAAGAATTCCCATGAATCTTTCACTTGGTTTTCCCAATTGTAAACATCTAACAAATTGGTTTTTATTTTAAAATTTAGCCAWAAGGACCCTCAGAAAAATACTTGGAATTCTCCAAAGGACCTCAAATTTATCAAATTCTCAAAAGATGCTCACACTTTTTAACATACATTTGTTATTGTAAATTTGATAGGGCATTTTAGATGAATATGTCATTAGGGAAATTATTATTTTTGGTAAACTAAGGATTTTTTTCTTAATATAAAACTATTCATGTTCATCTTGACCCATCTAAGTAACCATTTGGAGGAATGTTCTTATGTGCAAGTATAGCATTTTTTTTTTACTCTATACCCTGAGGATAACAGGAAAAGTTAATGTTGCTTTATGAAGATTTCTTGCACCGTGAGGATTGAGCATAAAAGGACTATATTGTCTTATCTTTCTCTAGGTCATTTTGGATCAGGTGTGGCCTCCTATTTCATATTCTTGAGATGGTTATTTGGAATTAATATTGTGCTCACAATAATGACAGGTGCTTTTATTGTCGTCCCAGAGGTAAGAACTATTTCAGAAGAGAAAACAGTACCATTGTTTAAAAGGGGAATGTTACAATAGTATAAAATGACCTCTCTTATTACTGTTGTGGGAAGGATAATTCATGTATGGCAAATCTTTTCTATAAAGGACAATACAGTTAAGCATTTCAGGCCTTGTTGGCCATTTAGTCTCCGTCACAACTTCTCAAATCTACCAGGAGAGCAAAAGCAGCCATAGATAGCACATAAAATAATTAATGTGGCTGTGATCCCATAAAAACTTTATTTATGCCAACTGAAAGTTGAATTTTATATAATTTTAATTTATCCCAAGATATTATTTTTCTTCTGATTTTTCCCTAACCACTCAAAAATGCAAAAACCATTTTTAGCTCTCAGGCTCCACAAAAGAAGTGACAGGCTGCCAGTTTGCCAACCTGTTAAAATAAAGCACATTATTCAACTAAATTTCATCCTATTAAAGTAAATGGGGCCATTCATTTCCCATGCAGTCTCAAAATCCCAGGGACCTCACTGATCCACCCACAAATACTATATCTAGTCCAGAGAGAGTGCACCCAGCAGGTGCACAAAGAAAACAGCCAAAGAAAAAACTAATCACCCATGATTAACTTTCCATTCATGTGAATAAAGCAAAAAAAAAACCAGCCCCATAAGAGCTCTTACATGTGACACCTCTACAGATTCATGGGAATCCATCCCCCACCCTTTTCTCTGGTCCCCTCACCTGGAGGACCACATGACATCTCTTCCTCTCTCACCAGCTGATCGCAGGCCAGCCCTTTGGAAGCACAGCCAGCAAGAGCATCCCCCTGGAGCATGTTGCATCTGCCCAAGACCTGGATACCGTCTGGTCCCTGGGGGTGAGGTTGATGCTTGCCACACTCTTGCCTTGAGTAAGGCACTATTCTGAGACCTGGGAATCAGAAATGACACAGAGTATTTTCTTTGCAGGGCTACCTCCAGTACTCAGTTCTCTTCTATGGCTATTATGGCCGGGAGAGGAGGATCGGGAGAGCAGGCTACCGGCTGCCCTTGGCGTATTTCCTGGTGGGGATGGCAGTGTTTGCTTACAGCTTCATCATTCTTTTAAAAAAGTATGACTGCTCATTTCCCCAAGATTTACGTGAGGAATTATGATATGTGTGATCCTATTTAATCTTGTCAATAGCCCTGCTAAGTTAGGGCATAAATGTACCTATTTTTACAGAGGAGGAGACCAAGACCAAGGAGGTAGGCTCATTTTAACCAGTACTTTTTGCCCACTTAGCAGCTTCCAGCTAGGTGTTGTGTTGAGACTGGAAAGACAAGGATCATACAGACTTGCCAGTTTATGCAATTTTAGACAAGTAGATGACTTCATAGAGATGAATWATATGATCCAGGTGACCAGAGATTACAGAAAGCAAAACATGCTCTGTTGGCTGTATGTTTGCCTGTGACCTGGTTATAGATTCTTACAGATCAGTTTATCGATGATGTGGACAGAGTTGGAACTTCAAGCTCATCCTTGATTGGAGGCACAAAGCAAAAGAAAGTGGACTGGCCAGGGGTTGGGAGTCCTGCACCACTCCCACTGGGAGCCCCACAGCAACTTGCTTCCCTCTCTGCCCTCTCTGCACTTCACCTGTAAAATGRGCAGTTTGGCTTGCAAAACCACCAGGTTTCCTCACAGCTTAATATCCTATTAAGAAATTATGTTAAATTAAATTAAGACATTAGAGTAAAAACATTTAAAATAAAAGGGAGAGATGCTGGGGTGGTGGCTCTGTGGTAGAGGGCTTGCCTAGCATGTGTGAGGCACTGAGTTCTATCCTCAGCACCACATACAAAATAAATAAAAAATAAAGGTATTGTATCCATCTACAACTAAAAATATTAAAAAAAAAAAAAAAAGGAACACAGACTAACAGTTTCTGAGCCTAGAGAAGAACTTGGTCCCCACCATCTTGTCTCACKTGCACTTCTTTCTAATTTGTGCTTCCAACCTGTAGTAAGTTACCAAAGTGCAGACAGAGGAGCTTGGGCCACCGCAGTGGTGGGACTCCTTGTCAGAATGGACTCACACACTAATGTGTCAATGCACTTTTCAGAGTATTCAAAAAGGTTAGCTGAGGGCAGGAAGTCCACCAGGCTCTTTGCCTAAGGAGCTACCTCAACCCAGATGAGGCAGCTTTTCTAATTCACATAAAACTCCAAGTCAGTAAGTAGTAACAGCCCAGAGAGGAAGACCATAGTCCTGAAGCTGTCCCCAAGTACCCGTTYTGATTCCTCTTTTGCAGGATGGCCAAAAACTCCCGCACAAGCCTTGCTAGTGCTTCCAATGAAAACTACACCTTCTGCTGGCGTGTGTTCTGCGCCTGGGATTACCTCATCGGAAACCCAGAGGCTGCGGAGAGCAAAACCGCGGCAGTCGTGAACAGCATCAGGGTGAGTGAAAACCTGTCCAGGCTGCCCTGCAGCTAGCGCGTTGTCCGGACTCACAGAGCGCGCCCCCTGCTGGAGAGTCGCGCCCTGGCCTCAAACTTGCAATCCTMAGTCAGGCACTGGCATTAYAGGAGTGCCAGCCACTGCCTCTGGCTACAACATTTATTTATTCATTCATTTGTTTGTTTGTTTATATTTCATCCTTTAAAAATTTCAGTTGGTGTATTTTTCATAATTCACATAATGGATTATTACCATGATCCATAATATAACCTGTAAATGAAACAATATGTAGATGTTAGGGATATAAGCATTTATTTTTAACTTAGAAAAGGAGATCAAAAGCAGTCAAAAACCTGGGCCGTTTGAACCACTGCAACAACTCAATGGCACCCTATTTTGAGAAAAATGTATCTTGGTAATTCAGACTATCACAATCTTCCTGTCTCTAGCCTTTCTTCCCAATTTCCAATTTCCCTTCAATTGATTATTAAGCAATTTATATCTAATTCACTGATATCAATAGAATCTTAMAAAAGAAAGTATTAAACATATGATTTAAAATACTGAATGTTTTTTAATGATTAATAGTTAACAATAATGCTAAGCTCCTAATGCTATATGTATTCTTCCTTAAAGGAGGCTATCCTGGAAGAACAGGAAAAGAAGAAAAGCAAAAATCTGTAGGTATTAATATGTCCTGTGCTAAGAGTCAGTGATGCATTTTGTTTCAACTTAGTACAGAAATTTACTAGATTATCTATATTTTATTTTCACAAGTCAAATAGGTCTTCTTTCTTTGTSATCTCCCTTCCCCTAGTACTGTGGTCTATGGGAACCTCATACTTTMCTATAGCAGTATTTAAGAGTGCTTCCTCTTCCTTCAGAGCCTGTGACAGGGTGAGAGATCTGAAGTTAACCTGCATCCTACCTTTTTACTTAGATAATAAAACTCTTATATTTAATGCCAACTTCCAGTTTGCTGAATGAAACAAATCTACAAAAACTGTTAGGACTAATTTTATTTAGAAACAAATCTCTGAAGTTCACAAGATACAAACAGCATCCTTTGTGTTCACAAGGCCTTCAAGATGGTTTCTTCTATGTGAGGTTCTTCATGAGGACTTGAGAAGTGTGTTGGCGAGGGAACAACACCATAACCAGAGAACTGATGCAAGACAAGGGTGTTCCCAGGAAGGGGCAAAGGGGCAGTGGCTCTGTCTGCACTGAGACTGACGCATGCATTCATCTGGTATCCTTAYTGATTGGTTAGTCCTCATAATTAATTTGTGGAGAACCAAAGAAACACACCAGCCACAGGGATAATGGCAGGAAGCAAGGGGTGGTATTGGGAAAGGCTATGTGTAGGTGGTCTGAGGACATGGATTCTGGCCCTGCTCTTGACATTCACTCCCTGAACWTTCCTGGCCTGCAGCTTCTCTCCTGAGAAATGGAAGGATGGGACTCTAATAATGCTTTTCAGAAGCTGGAGAGCTCCCACCCACATCAGAATCACCTGCAGTCACTGGAAATGAAGACTCCTGTGGCCCAATCCCCAGTTTACCAGATTARAATCCCTGAGAATAGAGCACTGAATATATATCTTTAGCAGATCTCACAACATGATTTAAAGGGTTCCTCAAATTTGAAAATTGTAGTTATCTTAAGTTCATTCCAGATCACTGAAGTCATTATTAAAACAAACAAAGGAACTAAGGAGAAACTTTTCTCATCTCTCTTCTACAAAATAATGGTAGCCATTCTGGGATATGCAGCATGCTGTAACAGGACCCAGAAGAAGAGGGTAGAGAAAAGGGAAAACTAACATTTAATTGGCTACTTCCCTCTGCCCCACATGCATTTTCTAGTGTAGTCCCTGAAAGGGTCACCAGGTACTGGAAGGGAAAATCAATTGCAGGACYGGCCCCAGGGCCACATTTCACCACGTGGGCAGCCTGACCTTAGAAGTGATAACGGTGTGGTCTAGAGACTGAAGGGAACAAAGAAGCACTGGGATTGCCTCCGTGGACCCAACTCTCTCAGGGATTTCTGTCTCCAGTGCTCTGTGATTTTTTTGATCTCACTCCTCTGCCATCAGAGTTGGTAATAATATCATAGTATGCCATGTTTTTATGTTTTACCTGGAAAGGTGACATTTATCACTGCAATTTGGTAATGAGTTCCTTCACTCTGCTGATGAAGGGCCAGGACACCTATAGAAGAGGGTGTCTTTACCTGCCCAAGGTCCCCAGCTGGTGCAACTTCACAGAGGGGATGATGCCCATCTTTTGTATACCTTCAATTCCTCTTGACCACATCTCTTTCTCCTGTYTCTGTCCCCAGGTAGAGCTTTTCAGGATGCTGCTGGCCATATGCATGTTCCCCTTGCTTCTGCCTACTGTGTGCTGCCCTGAGGTCCTCTGAGGAGTACCCACAAGGTCCCAGTCAACACTCATACAGCCATAGGCTGGAAGCAGTGCTGACCATAGGGAATGGGATAAATGCTTCTCTCTTTCCCTCTGGGTGGACTGTTTGGGAGGCATTCTGTGGTCCCTAAGGGGGTCCTGCAGTTGCCTCCAACTGGCCAACTCTACCACACATCCTTGTGTTAATGGCTTTTTTGTCCCACTTTCTGGTGTCCCCTCCCAAATTAACTATGTACAAACAGGCCTCTGCCTGGGGTTCTGCTACCAGGGGAACCAGGTTGGAATTGGTCCCAAAGTTGACAGATTACCTTAAAAATGGGCCAACCAGAGCCAATAAGTCAGTTGTTCCCCATTGTGACAAAAAGTAGATGGGTATCAGTTATACTAAATTCCAGAATCACTGKTGATTCTGAAATCTCCCACACTATAAGAGAGTTGTGACAGTGAGAGCTAACGAGGAGAGAGATGAGTCCCATGTSGCATCTCAGAGTCATTTAGTTGCTTCTTTATTTGCTCACTCATCTATCAGATATTTATCGTATGCTTAGATGTGCTCAGGTTTATTCTAAGAGCTGAGGATATAGGAACAAAAACACTAAAAAGTCTGGGAGCTTCCATTACAAAAGAGAAAGGCAGCTCATAAGGCCCCAGGAAGGTATGTGGTGCAATGTCAGATTTGTCATATGGAGTGACAGAAATCATCTCTCCCTTCCTCTGCAGAACACATTTATTTCAATTTGTAAAACATGAATGTGCAAACCACAATGCTCCAAGTTTAAGTAGCAGAGATTGTTTTGAAAGCCAAATATTCAGATTCTAAAACTAGAGTTATTTGTTCATGTGTTTTAAGCCCCAAAATTCTGGCAGGTTAAATTTATAACTCATTGTTGATCTCACAGAAAATGAGGCATTTGCGGTGAGGGGAAGTGATAGTTCCTTAAGGCAGAGGACCCTTTCAGCAGGGAATGTGTTTCTGGTCAGTACATCATGGTGGTCTGATGGTCATGGTGCCTGCCTCTCCCCACAGGGCAGTGACCATCTGCCTGAGGATCATTGCAAACATCCTGGTTCTTCTCTCACTGGCTGGGAGCATTTATCTCATCTACTTTGTGGTGGACCGGTCCCAGAAGCTGGAGCAGTCGAAGAAAGAACTGACCCTTTGGGAAAAGAATGAGGTACTCAGGGCCTGTTAGTTACCTGCATTCTGTCTTCAAAGTAGCTGCTCTTCTGCTTCATTAGTGGATTATGTAGAACTACCTCTAGGGAATAATTCCAGTCTTGTTCTAAAGCATGGACCTCAAGGGCTTTGAGCCATTGAGTGGCAACATCAAGCCTTGGATAAATAATTKTATTGGTCTCCATAGGGGAAGATTTTGATTCCAAAGAACCTTCAAGTGTTTGCTCAAATCTTTACCTTTAAATCTATAGGTTTATGCATACATACATACACATACACATACACACTGGGAATTGAACCCACTGGCACTTAATCACTGAGTCACATTCCCAGCCCTTTTTATTTTTTATTTTGAGACAGGGTCTTGCTAAATTGCCTAGGGCCTTACTAAGTTACTGAGGCTGGCTTTGAACTTGCTCCTGCTTTAGGCTCCAGAACCACTGGGATTAAAGGCTTGTATTACCCTACCCATGCCCAGCTGCTCTTCTCRCTTCTGTTCTTTCACATCTGAGCTTCAGAGGTTGACGCCACCTGCAGGCTTGCCTTGTATTCTAGTGTATATGTCAAAATTGGCCTGGTGCACGCTGTTGAATACTTAGGTAGTTTCTATATTTCTTAATTACAAACAATACTCCTAGCACCAGCTCCACATAAATGGCTTGTATATTGAACAGTTTTCCCCCACTGTGTAAATATTGCCATAAAAGGAAAATTTCCAAATAGAAGGTTATGGACAACTTTACAATTCTTAATAATGGTTGGTTATGAGACTGTTGTTCTAAAATGTTGACTCACTTTACCTGTAAAGATTTGAAAGGCAGAAATACCACAGGAAAAAAAATTTAAAGAAACTTTTCAGACGACTTCTATGAAAAAAAAATTATCACCATTTAAAAAGCAAAGTGTGTAAGCAGTAAGATGATYATCAGTTTAACCCACATATATCTATCCATGTACAATAATATATCAAAATCTAAGACTACACTAGGTACCTTATCTCTTTCTACTTTATATCAACTAAGTAGGTTATGTAAATGTGTGTATTTTTTACAGGTAGATGGATTTTTTTAAAGATATATTCAGAAATCATGTCTTATTTTAGCTCAAACTCTTGTWCACCAGTTAAAATGCCTCTTTCTCTTGCTATAAGTACAGAGAAACAAGAGCCAGGCATAATTCTCTGGGTAATTAATCTTCCATGAACAGAAAGAATATTAAATTACCTCTCTGCCTTCCTTTTTCTATTCGTAATAATCACAGTTATTTCCATCTTCCATCCCAGGTCGGGGAAGTAAGTATAAATGAGATGAGATGGTAATTGAAAAATGTGGTAGAAATGCTAGTGAATCCCCAATGACCCATAGGAGTGTCCTCGGAATACTAAAGGAATGTTCCTAAAAAGAATAAACCCATGATAAAATAACAGTGGTCTTTCAAAAAAAAAAAAAGATAATTAGCAGAGATTGGGAGAGATTAGAAACTGCATGACCCTGTGGATACCCACATTCCAAATATTAGAGACCAAATGTAGGTAAGTGAGGTAGGTTGGGGGGACCCTGGGAAACGCAGGGTCTCACACATGCTCTCTTGGCAGGTGAGTGTGGTGGTCTCTCTGGTCACCATGTTGGCACCATCTGTCTTTGACCTCATTGCTGCCTTGGAAATGTACCACCCGCGGACCACGCTGCGCTTCCAGTTGGCAAGGTATGGCAGCCCTGGAAGGCTGTGCCACATTGTGGCTGACCCACCTGGCCACTGCAATGGGAACGTGAGTCCCTTGTGAGCCAGAGCTTGCTTATCTTCCCCATCTTATCCCAGAACTTTAACAGGGTACAATAGGAGAGAAAAGTGAAGACGCAGGGGAAGAGGAGGGACAGGAAGGAGAGCCAGGATGACAAGGACAGAAGGAACGGATTAAAATGTAATGAAGAAAAGAGAGCAGAGGAAAAGGAGAGCAAGGAGAGGGGAGGAAAGAGGGACGAGCAGAGGGAGAAACAGGCAGAATAAGCTGAGAAGAAAGAGGAGCAGGACGATGGGATGTGTGTCTGGTTTTCCTCATTGTTGAACTGCCCCCAGGGTCTGACTATGAGTGGCAGAAGAGACCCGGGTTGTTTTTCCAGGCGTGAGAGGAAGAGTTTGAGCTTTTCTAATAATTTTCCAAAAGCACAGACTCAAAGAGATTCTTCTGGATTTGCCTGGAAGATTCTGGGGCTGTGCTGGGATAACCCATGGCCATAAGAACAGGTGGCAGCTGGTGTATCCAAGGGAGCGTCCTTGGACATCCCCCTTGGAAGTCAGAACAAAGGGGTTCATTTCTAGCATGACTTCACCATTGTCTTCCTTAAAAAAATCTACTTCTGTTCCCTGGAGCATGGTCTCCTCATTCATAAATTAAGCCCGTATGGGCAGGTGAGGAAAGATGAACACGGTGAGGGAGGCAGTCAGAGCCCTGCTTTCTTGCTCCCACCTGCACCCCTACCAGTTTCACCCAGTTTTCTCCTGTAACACCTAATAACATTCTCCACAACTAATTTTCCCAAACCACTTTGGAAAGATTTGCTCCCATTCAGGAGTTGGCAAACACCTGGAAAGGATGTTATAGTAAATATTTTAGAGTTTCGATATCTCTGTCACAACGCTAAGCTCTAAGGTTGTAGCAAGAAAGTGGCCACAGAAACGATATGCAAATGAAAGGGTGAAGCTGTGTTCCAGCACTTTTCACAAAAATAGGGAAGGGTAAGGTCTGATTTGAAGACCGTCACTTGCCGACCCCATGAAATACAACTGTCATTTTAAAGGTGAAGAACAAACAAACAAACAAAAACTGACTAGAAAGAACAAAGGGCTTGCCTGAGCCTCACCTCTCAGGGTAGCTCTGCTGGAGAATGAGGCTTTTAGTTCCCTGGCTCCTAACCTGGTTCTTTCTGCTCCATTCAGCACCTCTTAGACCTGAACAAGAAAAGTGTGTTCCTCAGCTCCTTCCTCACTAGCAGGCATTGGGGAGAATCAATTCCATTATTGCATTTGGTCTAACAGCAATCCTATTATACAGATTGGCCTCGTTATTCATGTTCAAAACCAGAGAAACAGAGACATTGAAAGACTTGCCCCAGACAAATCAGGGCTAATTTTGATAATAACAGCAAGACATATTATTTTAGTTCCATTAACTCACCAGCAGACCATGTTACCTTTCATCCATGGCACAGTGAAAACCAGAGCCATGGGATGCCAAGACTGAGGAGGTGGGATTCATTCCCCACTTCCTTCAGACAACTCTTACTGCATATACTCTGACGGTCTATTTCCTGCATGAGGAAATATAAGTGCTGAATTAAAAAGGTCCTGGCACTGTACCAAAAGAAGTCCCTTCACAATTCAGAGAGAAAGCCTTGGATATTACATGGTTTTCCCCTTGTGATGCCTCTGCCCGCACATGGGTGGTCACCTCTACCTTGAGGAGGTAAAGAAAGTCTGTGGGGATGGTCGACTCAGGGTTCAATTTGGTCCTGGTTTCTGTTTTCTCAAGATAAAGCTGTTTTCCCAGTAACTGACATTGATTTCATGATTCTCCATGTGCTAAGAAACCCCCCCTCATCTCATTTCTCCATACAGATTTCCCATAAGAAATCAAAGCTGTATCCTGGGCTATTCCATGATAGGCTTCCCCAACTTTTCAACTCTGAACAAACTGACATCAAGTCTTGGGTCCTTGGCTGAGGGAGACTGTTGCTGGAAGATTCCATTCACTTCCAGTGGTCCACAGGGTACAGCTGTATCTGAAGCCCATCTGTGTTTCTAAGGGGAGCACAGAGATTCAGAGATTGCATCTGATTCTTTCTAACCTGATCAGACTGAATAGTTACTCAGCCCCTCCATGTTTTAGTTGACTTGTGTCTTAAGTGAGTTCATCTGGCTGTGAACTTCATAGAGCTGTATGAAGATCATATGAGATAGTACGTGGGAAGAACCTTTATAAACCAGAAAACATGGCACAGAGACATGTATTTYATACTACCCTTTAGTACCCCACTTCCTAAATACACACTCCCACTACACTAGTGTTCCTAAAATGCTGATCCAAGGATGGGCTRCAGTGGAAATCATCTGGAAAGAGTAAATGTAAGACATGGAGACCCCACACAGAGCTACTGAAGCAGGGTAGATTCTGGAATTCTGTATTTGAATAACCTCAAGGTGATTTAAAAGACAGAAGCATGACAGCCATTGTCTTAGAATATCCCCAGTAGTCTAGAACTATTGGATAGGTCTACCCATGGACTTGTTTGTTGCTTTCAGGGTCCTTGTGCTGTATTTGGGAAATCTCTACAGTTTGATCATTGCCCTCCTGGACAAAGTAAACAGCATGAGCATTGAGGTGAGTGCCCAGATGGGGATAAACACCTGCTCCACCATCACCCTCCCCACTCCACCTCATCTCCCTACACCTGGGTCATTATCATAATTGTCAGCATCACTGCTTATACTTGCATTTCATATATCATATCCAAACTCAACTCAGCTGGGGTCTTCTCAAGATGAGGATAGAAAAATTATTCCCATTTCCCAAATAAAGAAACTGAGGCTGGGATTCATGGCTAGTGAGGAACAGTGATTGCAGCTTTTGATTCCACGTCTCTTTGTGCCCTATATCCTTGAATCTAATCAGGAGAAGCTGTTCATAGCTATTACAAATGATCCCAGAAAGAACAGCAGGCCAAGAGGCTCATTCTGACAATTTGCAGAGAATAATCATCTCATGGCAAACAGTTCTCAGTGAGACTCACCAGCCTAGCCCAGGGGGTTAACTTTCCCTTTCCRACCTGAGGACTGAGGAACCCCTGAGTGGTGGGGGGGAGGGGATGCCAGGGAGGAGGAAGAGCTTTCTGAGGGTTGTTTGTCCACAACACATCATACTAGCATCAGATCTCAAAGCTTGTAGGCAGAAGAGACCACAGAGTGTCATTTTTTCCACATCAGGGTTTTGAGGTTACATAGACCTAGGTCCTTACCTGCTACTTGCAATGTGAGCTTGAGCAATTACCTTCTAGTCATAAACCTGGGGTGATAATTTTTACCTGAAGAAGAGATACCGTGTGTTATGGAGCAGGCAGGACACCAGGGACCAACAAGCACTATCCATTACATCTCTGTGTCCCATGATTGGGGCCAACTCTATTTAAGTGGGATGAGAAGAAGAGAGAGAGAATGTAATTATTCCCAGGTAATCCAATGATAACTTTGGTGTGGTGTCCATTATGGATTCTTATTTATAAGCAGGTGCTCAGTCTTTTTTTCTTTTTTCCCTTTCCTCCCTTTCTCTCCACAGGAAATTAACACCAAAAATAACAAAAGTCATTGGATAGATTCCTTCTTCGCCACCAAGGCAGGCYCTGAAGAAGGGAAATGGTCCACACCTTGGTCTGGAATGGGGTTCAGAACAAACAGCACATGGGTCTTGGAAGATACCAGTATTCCAACTTACACCATGCCACTCACCAAGGCCAACAAGACTACGCTCCACACTCTGAGCCTGCAAGGCCAGTGCTGGGAAACATATGTTGGCCAGGTGCTTCCCTTTGTCCCTTACAAAGTCATTTTGCCTCCAATCTAGCAACTCTTGGAGGCATTATTGCAACTATTTTCCAGAAAAGGAAAGTAAAATTCAGTGAGATTTTTGCTTTTCAAGGTCTAAGCATTAATAATTATAATTAGTGCACAGATTTGTGCAGTAGTAACTATGTTCTGGGCAATGTCATTATGAGAGTTTTACTGTATCACCCTTTATAGGCACAGATGAGGCCCAAGGACCCAGTAAACAGCAGGATAAAGACTTGAACCCAGACATCTGCTCCAAAATCTGTGTCCTCAACCATTTTGCCTTTCATCTTTGCTATTTAACCTTGTGCAGAGCATCTCAATACTCCATTATTATCCCATGGAAATGAGTTTCCTGTGACTCAGAATCATAGAACTCAGATTCTTTCCTAGTTTTCTGTAGCTCTGGCTATATATGTCAGAATCCAAATTCAAATGAACCAATATTTATTAAGCATCTATTATGTGCCAGAAGCCGTCCCCTCTACCCGCTGCACCCAATAGAGATGCAAAAATGAAGGTGCCCCTGGAGGGCTCACTGGCTGCTCCAGGACAGAGACGAGAACATTGTGGAGGAAGAGAGGGCTTTGGGAGTGGGGGACATGGTGGCAATTGAGACTCTCTCCTAYCCCATGTTGCAGGAGATGCTGAAGCTGTCCATCATTGATATGCTCTTTACAGTGGCAAGCATCCTGCTCATAGACTTCTTCCGAGGACTTTTTGTTCGCTACTTAAGTGATTACTGGTGTTGGGACCTGGAAAGCAAGTTTGTAAGTAAAATGCTGTGTCCTTGGGGAAGTTTCTGTGGCTAAATGCACCTTTTCCTAATGCCAGGGACATGAGAAATGCCAGGCATGGCTGAAAGGACATATCAGGGAAAACACACGATGGAAGATGGGAGCGGTCTGAGCTTCACCCTGCATCTTACATTTCCCATTTGCTGAGTGACCACACAGGCAAGACTCTTAGTGTCCGTCAGAGCAAAGAACTGGATTATAAAAAGGACTTTGCAATGTTCCTTTATTATTATTATTATTATTAGGGATTGAACCCAGAAGCGCTTAACCACTGAGTTACATCTCCAACCCTTTGTTTGTTTGTTTGTCTGTTTGTTTGTTTATTATTTTGAGACAGGGTCACACTAAGTTGCTTAGGGCCTCACTAAGTTGCTGAGGTTGGCCTTAAACCTGTGATCCTCTTGCCTCAGCCTCCCAAGTTTCTGGGATTACAGGTGTGCACCACCATCTCYGGCATCCAACTTTTATTTTTAACATGGAAATTCTTTTTCTCTTCTAGCCTGAATATGGGGAATTCAAAATAGCTGAGAATGTGCTACACTTAGTCTACAACCAAGGAATGATTTGGTAGGTATTAAAGCTTCTTGTCTTCGYTCATCTGCCATCTGGACTAAGATTTTGATTCAGATGGATAGGTCATGACCAGAAAAAAAAACAGTGATAGGGTCTTACAAGGGAAATATTCCACACATGTAATAATTTCATTAATGGTTTTATAAGGATTTTGTGGTAAGCAATGATGAAGGGAATAGTCTGATTCTAAGCTGCTATTGATTACAACAACAATAAAATTTGCGTAGGAATCAATAGAATAAGTTGCTGAGCAGAACTGGGGGAGGCCAGGGGGAGGGGCTGCTTCTGYCCAGCCAGGGCTTCAACAGTGCTGGTGCTCACAGCTGGAAAACCTGGGGTCAGTCCTACCCTCAGCTTCCCCTCTGCTCCTGGTTTTCACTTTGACAGGAGCAGGGCCAAACCACAGACTAACAGACCCAACTCACAGGGGAGGCAGAAGATGAAGGTTGGAAGTCTGTTCACCCAAGCACCTCCCAGGCAAGGCAGCCCTGCTCTTACAGACACTGTCAACCCACAGGGGTCACCCAATGCACAAGAATGTGTGTTGGGGTGCAGGAAGAGCCCTGTAAATTATCCCGCATCCTGCTTTTACCTATTGGACCACAAAGAGTGCTATTTGTTCACATGCAAATGAAGAAAAAGAACCTTGGATTTTTTCACACATTCAGAAAACACAATATTGCTTCAAAATCATTCGCTAAAATACTAAAATGTCTGGGGAATTGAGAGCCATAAGGTAATATTCCTACAGTCAAATGGTGTGTTCTTATAGTCCATTGTATTTTGAGAAATATTTTCACAACACAGTACATGTAACATGTACTCAGTATTGCTAGATATCGGGCATTTTTTAAAGTAAATGATTTAATTTTTATTGTAACCCTATGATTTAATGGGCCATCATTGTCTGCCTGTTAAAGATGAGACTGAGGCACAAGGAAGCCACGTATCTTTCCTAACGTCAGACAGAATGACATTTCTGCCTGCCACAAGAAACCAAACATTTAAGTCTTTTACTTATTAAACATACCCTTTTACCTATACTTATTTTCCTACTAGTAAAATTGCTTTGCATATTTACCCTTCCTTTTGTAATTACAAAAGAGTAGATGTACTAAAATGTGTCAGGATGTTCTTCAAAAGTTGGCGCTCAACCTATATGATTAAAATTGAAACTCAGTAGKTCATTAACATCATCTTCACTGTAGACAGGCAAAATCTGAGATTACCCCCAAGGTATAGGTATCCAGCATTCCCTGTCCCAGGAGGGCCGTGCCAGTGTTCAGACACAAATTGTGGTGCAAAAGGATATATCAAAAATAGGATCACCAACCATCTGCAGGGACTTATCTTTCCTCTAGAATGTGGAGGTTGGGTTCTCAGACCTTCAGAGGTCTTCCCCAATCCTTTAAGCATAGGGTGTAAACCCCAAAGTCTCTGAATCACTTTACTCTCTGGGGCTTCCAGACCACAGACCTGTAAGATGCACTGGAAAAGAAGGTACACAAACTGACTTTCTTCATGGTTCTAGGATGGGAGCCTTCTTCTCCCCATGTCTCCCAGCATTCAATGTTCTCAAGCTCATTGGGCTCATGTATCTGAGGAGCTGGGCTGTGCTGACTTGCAACGTGCCCCACCAGCAGGTATTCCGAGCCTCCAGGTCAGTAAGTACAAGATCTGCCTTGGCAGAGAACATACATGATCCATGTTGCTGTGCCCAGCAAGGGTCTCCCCACTTTTTGCTTGTCAAAATTCTGCCTCTGCTCTTTTTTAATTTTCTTCTTGAAGCCATTTCCTGTGCTTCACCCTCAGAATTATTTGTTATTCCTCTGTACCTCATGACACATTGTGTTAGTCAACTTTTCACCACTGTGACCAAAATACCAACAAGGACAACTTAGAGGAAGAAAAGTTTAATCTGGCTCACAGTTTCAGATATTCACTACATGGTGGGTTAACAACATTGCTCTGAGCCCAAGATGAGGCAGAACATCATGATAGAAAGGCACAGAGAAGGGAAGCTGTCCATTCATGGCAGCCAGGAAGCAGAGAGAGAAGAGAAGGTGCTATAGGGACCCAGTGGCCACCTCCTCCAGCCACACCCCAGCTACCTACAATTACCACCCAGTCAGTCCATTCAAACTAGGATGTACTGATGAGGTTAAAGCTCTCACAATCCAATCATTTAGCCTCTGAATATTCCTGCATTAACACAGGAATTTGTTTGGGGGTGGTAATGTCTCATATCCAAACCATAACATACATTTTTAAAAACTGAGGATTGATAATCATTTAGGGAAAGAATGCACAAATCATACATTTTTATCTTTATGGATTTTCACAAGCTGAACATAAATATGTGATAAGCACCTAAATCAAAATATAGAATATGAATGATGCTCAGAACACCCCCACTTATACTCCATTCCAATAACCCCTGGCCTCTAATGGCATGGTTGGGTTTGCCTAGCTTTTTGCTTCATGTAACTGGAACCACATATATGATGTGCTCCTTCATGTTCAGCTTCTTTTACTCAACATTGTATTGGTAAGGGTCATCTTACCGAGGAAATATATCCCTATTTCTCTATCCATACTACTACCAATACACATGTATGTTTCCAGCTGTTACCTATAGATGAATATTGAATATTCTTATTCTTTTCTTGGGGATATGCTCAGCAGGGAAAATGTCAGGTTGTAGGGCATGCAGATGTTCACTTTTAGTAGACAGCACCAGAAAGTCTTCTTGAGTGGCCACACCATTCTATACTTCTGCCAGCGCTATGTGGAAGTTCCAGTTGTTCCACAATCTTGCCAATACATGTTATTTTTCTGCTTCTCATTTTAGCCATGTTAGTGAATTCATAACACATTTTGAATACCAGATTATAGTGCAGCTATGTTACTTTGACATTAATAGTTTGTGTGTGGGGGGGGGGTGTATCTATATTTGTGATTTTCAAAATGTTTAACTATAGTGTGCATGGCAATGTATTTACAGTTTATRTGGTGAACAGTACACATATATGCTTACATTCAGATATATGTTTTAATATATTTACAAAAATTTGTTTTGTACGTGTGTCCACATTTTCTCTGTGTAGTAGGGGTAGAAAGAGAAATTTTTGTAAATTAATATTCACTTTCTTAGTCCATTTTGTGCTGTTATAACAGAATACCTGAGACCAGGTAATTTATAATGAACAAATTTATTGACCCACAGTTCTGGAGACTGGGAAGTCCAGGGTCAAAGCACCAGCAGGTTTGGTGAGTGGTGAGAACCAGGGAGCTGAGTTAAGGCACCTTAAATGCTGCATTCTGCAGAATGAAAAACAATATTCCTTATATGGTAGAGGAGAGGAAGAACAAAAAATTAAAGGGGAACTGAGCTTACTTTTTTATATCTATATTAATCCCACCCATAAAAGTGGCATCCTCAAGACTCAAGTCACTCCCCAAAGGTCCCACTTCCTAACACTGCCACAAGGACAACCAAATTTCAWTAGGAGTTTTGGAGAGAACAAACACTTAAACCCTAACAGCTTAGTATTACATCCTGTACACTATGATCAAGACTCATCGTTTAGAAACAGACCAAGAGTGCTAGCTGAGGGTCACTAGATGGACTGATCAAATTCTCTTTTCAGAACTGTGTGTGGGGCCTTGCACATCCAGTAGGTTTCAGGTACCCTCAGCGGTGGCCTGGGCGGTCAAGCTCACTGATAGCAGCTCAGGACTTAGAGACCAGGGACCAGAGCTCAATCAGGCAGAACACTTACCCTAAACAGCCAGAAGCAGACAGGTAAAGATGTTGAGTGTCAGTGCATTCCAAGTGAGAGAGTCAAGGGTCAAAACAAAAGAATCAAACCATTCTGGAACATAAGAGACACAGTTCAAGGGTGAGAGTATGAGAGGGAAGCATTAGGTAAGGCCCAGGTGGATGGACAATGGTTCCTTACTGGGTAAGAGCCATGGGTACATAAGTGGGCTCATTGTCCTCATGGTTTGTGACGGATGTGTGCTCTTCCAATGTTTATTAGATGAACAGACTGGGCTGGCAGGTCTGTAAGGTTCCTTTTAGTACTGATTTCCAGATTTCTGAGTTGTATGTGGCCCTAGGGCCTGCTCCTTCCTAGGTAGATCTGATGAAACATCTTCCTGTCTGCAAAGAGTTGGGGGTGACAGTTTCTGTGTCAGTTCTTATATGCATCATCACTATGGAATGAACTCAGTCCAGTGCATTCGGTTTCTTGGCAGATCCAACAACTTCTATTTGGCAATGCTCCTGTTCATGCTATTCCTATGTATGCTGCCAACCATTTTTGCTATTGTCCGATACAAGCCATCTCTAAACTGCGGGCCATTCAGGTAAGTTATTTTAGTTAATTTGACTATTCCTAGAGCCACTTTGAGCTGTAGGGAAATTGAGTCATAGTGAATCACATTTTTCTCTTGGCTCACAAAATAGGCAGACAGAACAGAAGGAGCTCAAATCTGCATCATTTGAAGCCAAGATTGAAACTCTTTCCTTGATAGCATGCTGTCCTTAGATATAGTCATCTCTATGCCCATGTTAAAAAATAAATAAAGCTCCTTTAAAATAAAAAAGAGAGCCAGGCACAGGAGTTCACATTTGTAATTCCAGTGACTTTGAAAGCTGAGGTAGGAGGGTCACAAATTCAAGGCCTCCTCAGCAACTTAGCAACACCCTATCTCAAGAACTAAAAAGGTCTATCTCAGTGGTACAGTGCCTCTTGGTTTAATTCATAGCATCACAAAAACAATAAATATATAAACTAGTTAATTAGAATAAAATGAGGAAATAATATTACTCCTGGGCTAGAGTGAAATTCCACCTGGTCAAACCCCAGACAGTTTTATTAAAAGATGTTAGATAATATAGAATAAAAAGTGATATGGACTATCTCCAGACAGAAAAGTATAATACCATTTCCACCTAAAGTTTAAATCAGTTTTGATACAACATGTATGTAACAAAGAGTCTATCTTTGTGTAGGCTATAAAACACATGCATATGCAATGTGATTATTAATCCTACATATTTAATTAGCTAATGGCTTCATGGGTACCTTGAGAATGTTATCTATCTTTTCCATTTGGATATTTACCTGTATCGGTTCTAGATGACTTTAAGTGTCTGCCTCTAGACATCCAGACATTTTTCAATGTCTTGTCTTAGCATCTTTCTGCTAAAAGCAATAAAATCCAGAGTTATGTTTTTCTTTCTCACAGCGGACAAGAGAAAATTTATGACATCGTGTCAGAAACGATTGAGAACGACTTTCCCGTGTGGTTTGGCTCTGTGGTTGGGTACATCAGCAGCCCCATAGTCATCCTGCCAGCTGTGTTGCTTCTGTTGTAAGTACCATCCACTCCTGCCAGCCTCTGCCACAAAACAACACCGATTTCCAATAAGTATAAAAAACTAATTAGTTCACTCATTAATCAGTTACCAAGCCTGATGATCTAAGCACGGACTCTTGAGTCACACCCCAGAGTCACACAACCACTGTGCTGTGGAAACACAGCCAGTGGTTCTCAGTGAGAGAAGGGACATTTCTACTGCTATCTATGGACTCATCCTCAACTTTTGGTAAGTTACTGTGGCCATGAAAATGGAGGAGCTGAACAGCATTCATATCAATATCTTATTTAATTAACCTTAAAAATGAACTTCACAATTCATCTGAGTAGCTTTAGCTCATATTGACTTAAACAGAAACCTAAGAACAAGTAAAGCCAGTATTCACAGCTTGAAACATCATTGCAAAATGCCCCTGCCCGCATCTCTTCCCACTTCTTGTTGCTATCACCAGTGCAGCATTCCAGGTCAACAGGGGTTGCTGGAGAAAGCAAGAGAAAAAAGAGGACAGTAGCTCCTTTCCAGTGCTCATGGGCTTGGGAACTCCCCACTAGATTTTGACCATGGCGGAGGGGTCAGGGAATAGCCACAGGGGGGGCCCTGGAAGTTTTTACTTCCACCAACCACCTGAGCTGGGAAATGTGTCCTGAAAGTCAAAGAGCCCAATTGCAGTGCACTCACCAGTCTGTCTTCTGTTTTAGCATGCTCATCTATTACCTTCAGAGCATCGCACGATCACTGAAGCTCAGCAACCATCAGCTCAGAATGCAGATCCAAAAAGCAAGTACTATATAAATTTCCCTCTCATGAATGTGGGTCAACCATCAACCCTCTCTCCAGCACAGAAATGAAAATTGTTTGCCCTTCAGATGTCTATGACTCTTGGATGCCCTCTGTGGCCCAAGTCCACCACCTCCAAGATTTATTTCTCAGGATTCCCAGAGGCAGCTCACACAGGTCAGGAACAAGCCTACTTGTCTTTTTCCTTCTCTGCAATGGGTCTTGGGCACTGGAATGCTCCTCATGGCCTCACCTAGCCAGCCCTCCATGTGCCAGGCACTTCTGCAGACTCTGCTAGACTGGCAGAGAAGAGAAAGGGCCACTTTCTGTCCTGTGTCAACTTGGACATCTCAACCCAACCATGCTGTCTTCTCCCCAAAGGCTCACCTCTTTCATATCCTTTAGATTCTGTATATTATTGACCTTCTCTCATATCTGCAACTCAGACCCTCTCAGAGCAGTCAGAGACAAACACTCCCCAAATTGTCCACAGTGTCTCTTCCTCTGCATACTCAGGGGCTCCCCCAGGGTCAGGGCGAGGGTGAGTCCAGGAAGAAACCTAGGATAGCAAATTTAAAGAAGCTTTCTTGAGGTTGTGCTAACTTTGCCCTTTCACTGTCCCCAGAGTATACACACTTTTAAATGAAGTGCCCTGGATAACTCATTTACTTTACCTTCATCCTGACCCCAAGCAAACAAAGCAAACAAAGCTCCTTCCACCCTTTTCAGTTAAAAAAGACTTCCATAAATATTAATTCATGTAAATTTATTAAATTAGTTTTATGAAAAGTCAAATTAAAAAATGCATCTGGACTTGCAAAGGGCATTTTGCCAATATATATCTTCATTGTTGTTGATCCATGTTTTCTCTGTTACTTGGGCAAGCTATCATGGACTAATCATCCCTAATCAATAAATCCAAAATCTGGAATGCTCCAAAACTCAAAACTTTTTGAGCAATGACATGATGCCACAGCTTTGTTTCTGGCATGAAATTATTTAAACTACTATATAAAATTACCTGCAAACCCTGTGTGTAAGGTATGCATGAACCATAAATCAATCTCATGTTTAGATTTGGGTCTCATCCCAAAAACCTCTCAACATGTATACACAAATATTCCAAATGTTAGAAAAACCTGAAACCAAAAAAACTTCAAGTCCCAACCATGTCAAATAAGGGATACTCAAACTATATTGTCGGAATCTACACAAGGTCCACGAGTTAGCTGTCCCTATATAAGACTGATTAAGTATGAAACTTTGACTCTTAGGTGTCTGCATTTGTTCACTCAAATAGTAGACCCAGTCCAGGACGCTCTATTGCCAGGGTTCAGTCATGGTGCAAGGTATCAACAATAGCACATAAATCTTTTTCCTCTGAAAAACAATAATTTTTACTACTTTGTGTTAAGTCCAAAACAAATATAATGATTATCATTTATATTTTAGGCAAGATCTGAAGATAAGAAAAAGGTTGCTCAAATGGTGGAAGGTAAGTGTACTTTAAAAATGCAAAAGTCTGATATCTCAATTGATGGGCATTTTTAAATATAGCAGTAAGGTAATGTAAGGTACACCACTAATAAAAATTCCCCGAGAGCCCATAGTGGTTTTCACAATTAACTAGGCACAAAAAATAAATAAATAAAATGTAGGACTATAAATACCTGCTTAAATAATCAAATTTTACATCATGTCTATAAATAACCCCCAGAGAAATCAGAGGAGGTTCTGAAGTAGGAGAGAAAAAAAAAAAAAAAAACCCAGCACATCTGGAACAAAACCCTAAGGACATCCTTATCTTCTTCTTTTTGTGCAGTGTTACCTTGTTTCTTCCACTGTTCCATGTCATCCTCAGTGCTGTCCTCCCAGGTCTCTGCCCAACCTCCATAGGTCCTGTCCTCTCCATCCCAGTAACACCACGTGATGCCAGCTGGGCAGACCTCAAGTAATGGATTCCTGAGTAAGGATCCAAATCCAAGGACTCTCCAAGAGTACACCTTTTCTCCCCAGGTTCTCCAAACTCATTCCCATCTTAGCTCACAGGGAAAATGAGAAAGAACTATGCTCCAGAAGAAATGGAAGCATGGGGAGCAGATTTTTGGTGTGGTCTTAAGGGAGGCAAGTGGGCAGGTGCAGCTCAAAAATAAGAGGGAGGGGGTCTGCCTCTTGGGACCACTAACAGAGCACGCCTTGAGCCAGAAGGCTTATCTGGCACCATTAGACTGGAATAGCCCATGCTGCCCCTCAGAATGAGAATGAGAAAGGGCTCAGAAAGGTTCCCTGAGACAACTTCTGTCACTGTTTTAATACTGAGCTTATTGGGATATACCTAGTCCCCTCCAAAGAGATGCCAGTGAGAGCCATGAGGCCTAAGGGATATGCCTGCTGCATTCACCTTTGTGGAGAAAAGCCACTAAAGAACAATTAACTATGGAAAGGGACCACGGCTCATGCTATAAAACTTCACCATAATTGTCAGGGATTACTTGGTAATTAAGAATAATTAAGTTTAGTTCAGATAGTACCTTCCAAAGCCAGGATTTATACTGACTTTCTCAAGGTAAAATAGCATTGTTCATTTTTCCAGTTCAAAGCCACATGATTTTTTCAGAATGTCACATGAACTATTTGCAAAAATCTTAATAGGCACATAAGCATTATTATGTTCATCGTGTAGATGAAGAATTAGAGCTCTGAAGTTGTTAATGGAGCTGTCTTTTCTCATGGAGGCATCAAATGGCACACTGTAGAATCTCTGGGTCCATTCTGTTCTTTTTAGTCTCCTTGCTTTGACTTTTCGTGATAGGATGATTTGAATTACAGTTTGTCTGTTGCCCATGGGTTGGGTGTATTTGCAAATGCACCCAATGGCTTTGTAGAATCAATCGTTAGCAATCATGAAACTCTTACAGCTAATTTAGCCTTGTGTTAGTCAGCTTTCTATTTTTTTATGACAAATACCTGAGATAATCAACTTATTCAAAGAGAAGGTTTAATTTGGCTCATAAGTTTAGGAATTTCAGTCCATGATTAGTTGGCCAGGAGCATGTGGTCATGCCAAACTGTTCGCTTCATGGCCAAGGCACAAAGAGTGGAAGAGAGTGGGGTCCCACAACTTCCTTCAAGGGTGTTCCCTGAGTGACCTAAAGACCTCTCAGTAAGCCCCATCCTCTGAAGTCTCTACCACCTCCCAATAGCTCTGTCCTGGGGAGCAAGCATTTAACATAGGGCCACTGGGGGACATTTAAGATATACATAGTATAGTATAATAAGCCTGATTGTGTCATTTACTCACATGTCATGTTGTTATATAACCTGTCTTTACCTGTAGCTCGAATCCAGACCAAGGAGGAAAGCACCAAGAAACTTCCAAAGGACAGTGACCTCACCAGCCAGCTGTCCTCAGCACACATGGCAACACCCCAAAACAACGGCAATGTGGTCAGTTTTGACTCACTGAGCAGCAAGAGCAGCAGGATAGAAACAATTACCCAACCCATGCTCCAGAGTCCTAGGATGGGGCACAGGGGGCCCTGCTCACCTCTTCCTGACACCTCCCAGTCGAGGCCAGAGCACAGTTCTAACAGGTGAGGCTTAACCGAAGGCAGAAGGAAATCTGGCATCCTTGAATGTGTGCCAGCAATGGCTCAGAGGCCACAGAGATTGCAGGCAGAAGGGCCATTAAGAGTTTGCAGGACTCAACACTTTCAGGAGACTAGGGCCATTAAATTCCATTCTGCCAGAGGCTGGCTAGGAGTTCAGCAGACTGTGACAGCTGGTACTGGGAAGAAATAAAAGCAGTAAGGGAAGGGGGTCGGAGTTTCTCAAACAGAACAAATTCTTCCTCCTACACTCTCTGTAGGATAACCTTATAGGCAAATCTTCCTGCCAATCTTAGACACATATTCCTATAACCTAAGAAAACAAAAAGCCTTTGTAATTGATTATCTTCTTCTTTTTTAAGCTCCAGACTGGCCATAGAATTTGCAAGTCATTACTGCAGCTTTGGGCCATCAAGGTCTCAGCAAGGTCATCTCTGCATTTAGTGGGGCTAAAGGACTCAGTCTTCCATAAAAGAAAGCAAAGACCCTGCTTCCTTTGATAGAAGTAGAGTGTTAAAAAGACAAAAGGACAGGCCTATGTTGACCCAAAATCATATCAAGAATATAGCAGAGTGGAAGCAATATAGATAAAGAGTTTTTCATTTTGTCTTTTTTTTTTTTTTTTAGCAATGACTAAGTTACCAAAGAACTTGAAGCCTCCTATATGAGGGGTTGTCTCTCATCTGTGCAGGCTCTTGACAAGGAGTAGGATTCAAATTCTCCTGAAAAGGCCACTGGGGGGTCAAACCAGACACAGGTGGGAGTCATGTCTTTATGGGGAAGAACTTTCTGATAGACATCAACTCCTCCCAGTGGAAACTCAAGGAAGTTCCAGAGAGGCTGGACAGCTGCTTAGCAGAAATGAGAAGGAACATAACATGTGCTCTGCCAACATCAGTCCCATGACATGCTCCTAAGCAGAATGAGAGCTCCATAGCAAGATACATTAGGAAGACAAAACACTGCCCTACACACTCCCACCCATGAAGATTGGCAGAACATGACAATGCATTAGGGTTCTGAGCGTTCCAGCAGTGAGGAAATCTATTTGGTCCAGTTCCCCAAGTGTTTYTATACATATAAGCCACAGAACCCACATGAACATTCTGGAATTGGTCATAATGCTGAGGGAACCTAGCACTTCCCTAGCTCATATTGCTCAGGTGGGGGCTAGGAGCTAAGGTGGTAGTTACTTACTACCTCTGTCTTACAGGTATCAACATGGTCTGTGTGCAAGCACAGGTGACCTTCACAAGAACAGATCCTGCACACCCGTGACATTGACACGGCATATTGAAGATGTTCACTCAGAACCTCTTTTCAGGAAAGACTTTAAACAAATCAACACTCCTCTCCATAGATCTGGGGTCTCTGCCTTGGTGGCACATGGTCACAGACCTCATGCCCCAAGATATTATATCATTAATGAACGTGACTCTCACAAAAAATCCCGTCCAGCTTTCTGTTCAGAGAGACATTTCAAGATAGATGCTTCAGGTGACATTGTGGAAAGGTACCCCAGGAACACGCAGCATTACATATCCAGGGCCCCTCACCAGCCTTGCTCTCCACAGCTGAGTGAAGAAGAGGAGGAGATGTTGAGGAGAGAGCTGGTCAAACAGTCCTTCCCACCTCACTCACTGACAGACCTGCATCAGGCTCCTCACTTTTATATTGGTGAAAGGTCAGAAAGTGAGGCTCTAGATCTTGCACACCAGGGATGGATGCACTACAGTTCTGCGAATAATGATTTTGAGGGTCACCTTGACAGGCCTATGTATGTGCACAAAAAAACACGCTCCCGTCATTTCCAATACCCACAGCATCCGATGAAGCCCAGAGCCAAGCCCAAGTTTGAGCCATCCTTCACAGAATCTGATTCTATATCAGCAGCCTCCAGTAGCGACCAGCAGAACAGYGGCACTGACCAATACCTACAAGTAATCCACAGCCAAGGCAAGTTCTCAAGATCTTCCGGCCAAATCGGCAGGAGAAAGGCCAAGTCCAGACAGGCACTGATGACAGATCTGAGTGATCTAATTTGTTCAAATGTCTAGGCTTCCTCCAGTGACCTATTCACACAGATTGGCCCCCTTTTGAAGTACTGGGACTGCACCTGGTCTTACCACATCTGGTGGGTATTAGAAGGCACCATAGCATATTCAAGCACATCTATGGTTTCTGGTGGAGGCCTGGAGACTCACAGGGCTACAACCATATAGTCTATAGTTATCTGTACACGAGTGTGTGATTTCCTGGAGTCTTTTCAGGCCATCATTTCAAGAAAATGTGAGTCCTTTGCCTTTATTCAGGGTGATTGCAAATCATAAACTAGCCAGATATCTCATTGCAACAGCAAAAGTCTCCAGAGATTCTGCTCTTTCCTTTAGTGATTTGAGTGAACTATATATATATTGTGCCGTTTTCAGCATACAAATGCCAGTAATAAGCACACAGAAATTAGGTAGCTGCCCTTAAAGATTTTACAATGCCTAGCTTGTAGGAATAATCTGCCTAGTAATAATCCACTTCATAATGATGACAGTAACAAATTTATCAAGAGCTTCTTTTACACCATTTACTGGGCTGTATGTCTGTATTAATTGTGACACTATGGACTAAACATAAGTCAAAGTTTAACCTAAGGATTATTGGTTCGTTTAACTGGAAAGGATGGGGATCAAAGCTCACTCATAGGCGCAGTTGGAGCCAAGACATCAAAGTTTTTCGAGAAGGTYTGTTTTTTCACCTCTCTGCTCTGTTGCTTTCTTGTTAGAAGGCTTGACATAAGTGACTGCATTTTTKATTCTGACAGTTTTCACACTGCAGTAGCCAATTAAGTGGCTTGAAATGACCTCCTTTTCTCCCACTACCAGTAGGCTTCCTCCCTGTGGTAAGTGGAAGATGAATTCATAGCCATAGAAAATGCCAAGTTTGAAGCATTGAGCCATATTTTGCTACCAAAAAAAAAAACCCTCCCTACTTCACAATTTTTTTACCTTTATGGGCTGATCCCTTTTAATCCTTTGACAGGCATTTTGCAGTGTTGGGCAGCAGTATGTGTTCAGTTTGTCATGTCAACCAGGATTGTGCCCCTATTTGTATTTCCATATAATTCTTTCCATACTAAATTGTGTCTTTTTTAACATTTCTGTCTCTTCCAGCATACCCTGAGTGTCCTCAGAACAAAAATGGTGTTCATTAGTTTCTACATTCCCAGTAACTGACATATAATGGATATTTGTTTTTTATTGCTACTGTCAATCAAAATAGCAAGGGACACTCTCAAAGGATTAAATTTCTTCAGGAATAGTGGACATCACAATAGTAATACAAATGACACAGTAGACTATGAAGTGTTTGTGGCAAGGGGAAGTTTTTAAAAGCAAACTGATTACAGTTTGAATCAATTATCTTTGGCTACAAAGATTAAGTTTGGGTGAGGCTGTTGAGAAAATGGGCATCTTATCTGCTGAGGCACAGGGTTACTTGTGAAAACTACTAATAAAGAAGCAGGAATATACCACAGTGGATTCCATATATATATGGAATATATATATGATACACACACACACACATCAACAATTTTAAAAATAAATAAATCAATAAATAAATAGAAGGAGGACCAGTGGAATAGAGAAAGGGGTTAGGGGTGGGGGGAGAGGACCTGAGGGAAACAGAAAGTACTTGGGACCTAAATGGAGCAAATTATATCCCATGCATATATGAATAAGTCAAAATGAACCCCAATGTTATGTATAACTAGAATGCACTACTGAAAGCATTTTCTAAACATCTCACCAAAAGCACTTCTATAACAAACTCCTTTCAAGTGTCAGAGATCAGAACAACTATTCATTAAAAATGAAGAACAAATTCCTCCTGATAAGAACTGTCTGGTGAACATCTTAGCAAACTAGGGATGCTTCCTTTGTCACTATTTGTGTTTCAGAATTTGTGAATGCCAGAAAATTTTGTGACGAGCTTTCTGCGCATCTTTGAAAGACCATTTTCTCTAGCCTAAGGTAGAATTTTCAAGCTACTCCAAGCCTGTGCACGTGTCATGGGAAACGTTACATATGCTTATAGGAAGTGGATTTAATAAAGCATGTGAGTATCATTTAGTCTTGGAAAATAGAAACTGGGTATTTACCCACAAACTCCACTTCACTAGCTATGTGGCTTTAGAGACTATGTAATCTCAGTTTCTTAACCTGCAAAATGAAGACAGTACTCATTACCTCATAGTTCTGCAAGAGTTAAAAGGCATGATACATAAAGTGCACACAGAATAGGGGCTGAACAGTAGTGTTGAGTAACAATTACTTATGGCTCAGCAAACAATAACCATATACATTTAAGTGCTTACTTGTGTAGATTCACATAACATTTTCCTGAGCTAACAGTAATATGATGCTGGATCCCCTTGCCCCATAAACACCTGTTTGAAATTAAACTAGGATTAAGATCTGATATGGACAACTTTTAGAGGTGATTGAGAAGCCCATGGGAGGGACTCTGGTCAATGGAATCTATAAAGCTCAGTCATTCTTCTTTCCCCTTCAACTCTCGATTCCAGCCCCAAACTGATTGCAAAACAGATCACCACCCCAGGACAGTTGTGTGGGCAGTGGCAACCTCCCTTTTGCTCTTGCTACCTGCTCATCCTGCATTGTGCTGGCTGGCCTCTAGTGGCAAAATAGGTCACCGCCACCTGCAACAAGGCTGCCCTGGCCTCACCACTGAGTCGGCCAGTTTGTTACAGTCCTTGAGGACAGTTTCCATCTCCAAACATTTTGTACACCCAGGACTTCCCATTTTGGGGAAAGCAAAGATTAAAGATTCTTATAGTGCTATTTTTTTAAAAACCTGTATTCCATGCTCTCTTTTAATAAGTGTAATCATCTCCTGAATGTTTGATGTCTAACAAAATCACTTTCTACATCAACCTTACTTTCCCTTGGCTTTAAACCCAAACAAAATTCTTTGACCCAGAAACTCCTGCTTTTCACAATGGCCTGAAAGACATTCTATAGAGCTTTAAACCCAAACAAAATTCCAATAGGGCCCAGACTGACTTTCAAGCCACAGATTTACAGAAATATTCTACGTTGAATTTTTAACGAGTCTTTTTAAATTTAAAAAGTCCTATATGCTATTAAGTAAAATAACTAAAACAAATATAATGATCAAAAATGAAAGAGAAATGTCTGTTGGACTTACTCTCCATTATTAAGTATTTATTTTATCCCTTCCTAGAAATGAATATCCTAAACATACATATATGAACATAAACATCCTACATACATGTTCATGTATTGCTTGACAATAGGAGTACATCCTAAGAGATGTGTCATTAGATGGTTTTGTTATATCATAGAGTTAATTTACATAAGATGGCTATGACATCAGTAGGTGTTAAAATCTTTTGGGACCACTATCATGTATACTGTTTGTCATTAACCAAAACACCCTATGTAGCAAATGACTATATAAGCATGAACATATAAACACAATCAAGCACATCTCTAATCTCTGATTATTTCTTTCTCACTCAAGATATATATGAACATATGTTAAACATTTACGGTATGTCAAGCACCATTCTGTTTTTTTATTAAATCATTTCACCTAAACATCAACTCTGTTAGTCCTATTATTTATTTCACTGTCCAAACGAGAATGCTAAGGTATGGAATGGTCAATGAATTGCCAAGATCATGACCAGTAGGTGATGCTGCTGGCATTTGAACCAGACAATCTGCTCACTTATCCATAATGCCATTGCCCCTTCAAACTGCTGTATTCTTTTACCTAATACATAATGTAATATATGAATTCCTTTACCTATTGGTTCATATGCAAAAAAGTTTTACTACAGAAGGGTAAGAACTTACTACCAATAAACACCATTCATGTCCGTTAGCGAGAGTTAACTGTACTTGGTGAGAAAAGTCTATTCATTTCAACAAATATTGCCAGACTGCCTGGGCCTCAGCTCGGTTGAGCAATTGGTTTTTACTCTAGCCTCATGCTGCATTATTGTAATGATTACATAATATTCTAATAAATGTATATAATGTAACGTTGTATAATATATTGACAAATAGCTTGCTTCCAGTTGCAAAATCAATCTTATATGCCTTTGTTAGGAGGAGTTTCTGGGTCAAAGAACAAGTAGAGCATATATTAACACGATACTTTTGTTCCTAGAGAGTTGCATTCATCTATAGTCCCATCCACAGTCTAAAAACAAATATAAAACTATTTCTCCATAATGTCATTAACACAGGGTATTAACAAACCTTTTTTTGTTTGGCTATTAGGTTTAAAAAAAGTCTCTTTTAATTTGAAATTCTCTGATTGAGATTCTACATATTTTTTGTGTCCTTATTAGCTCTGCTGATTTATTTTTCTACAAAGTATCTCTGTCTGATGCATTTTTTTTTCTCCCTATGGAGCTGCTTAAAATTTTCCTAATGATTTTTAAGAACATTTTGTCCAATAAGATACTTAATTTTGGTTAAAATGTGTCCCAATATATATATATATWTTTTGCCTATTATCTAACTTGTAATGGTATTTTGGTATGCTTAATATTTTTTTAAAATGTAGATACTTAGTTTATCCTCTATGGCTCCTAGAACTATTCATATGTATTCTTTCACCTGCTTTTCACAATGGCCTGGAAGACATTCATTATTATCCCATTTCACCTTGGAGTTAACTAAGGCTCAAAGGGGTTAAGGGACTTGACCCAAATGACACAACAAATAATGTGTGACACTTGAGGTTCCCCAATTCTTTATCCAGGCCCTCCTCAGAAGCGGCAGCCCTTCAGGTCTTCCAAACTGTTCTTTCAAACCTTAAAAAATGAGTATGCAATAAAGAAAAATAACATAAATAGGTCTCAGTGATAGTGCTAGTTATCTGTGACAGTTCTCTGAACAATAGAGAAGCACACAGAGACTTTGCCTGGGAGGGAGAGGGAGGGCCATAACTGGTATATGAAGAAGCAAGGCGTTCTGCCCTTTCTATAATTTCCTAGGCTTCCTTTGTTCTCCTGCTCTCTTCCTCTTATCTCTCTCCTTCCTGCATAGGTGACTAGGCCCAGGAATTCTTGTGGGAGGGCCAAAAGGTGGGAAACAGGTGGGTGAAGGGGGAAGGGCGGGATGGAGCAGCCCAGAACACATTAATTAACAACCTTATAGCTCCCTGTAGGGAGGGGAAATTTCTGGGACAGGGAGGTTGGAGCAGGGGCAGGTTCTTGATGAGAGTGGAGGAAGGGCTCTGAAGGAATTGACATTTCAATCCCTCAGGAGACAGTCTCCAACTTCTCAGACTCACTCAAAATTGACCTCCTTGATCTGACCTGACTCGATTTACCTCTCTATACTGACTGCCTGTATAATTCTGGCTTCATCAGCAACAACCTTTTAAAAAATTTAGTTGGACATAACCTTGAGGAAGAAACAGGTTGCCCTTTTAGTTCTCCCTGTGGGGCTGTGACTCCAACCCAACCTCAGACCTCACTCCCAGTGCCTCCTTGCCCCCTGGCCAGGCCACCTGGATGCAAAAATTCCTGATAAGATCCCTTATATAAAGCCAGAGCCTCTCTCACATGACAGCACATCACATCACACTAGATATCTCCATTCAGAGGCCCCTCCGGCATCTAAACATGTCCAGAACTAATTTCACCATCTTCTTCCTAGAGTCTACCTCTTTCCCCATGTCACTTAAGCCACCAGCTATGCAAGCCAAGTGGGAATYGTGATGCTTCTTCCTTTTTCCCCATCCCTCACAATCATGATTAATAAGGTTAATCATCTCCTGAATGTTTGATGTCTAACAAAATCACTTTCTACATCAACCTTACTTTTCCTTGGCTTTAAACCCAAACAAAATTCTTTGACCCAGAAACTCCTGCTTTTCACAATGGCCTGAAAGACATTCCATAGAGCTTTAAACCCAAACAAAACTCTAATAGGGCCCAGACTGACTTTCAAGCCACAGATTTATAGAAATATTCTACATTGAATTTTTAATCAGTGGCAGAGAGCTCTATATTGTACCTCCTAATCACTTCAACCTGGATCGGTCTTCTTTTCTGCACCTCCTGCTCCTGACTCCTACCCGGCCCTCCTCACTCTTCTCCAGACCCTGCTCCAGGCCACTAATTTTCTTTCACCTTCTCGGCTGCTCCTTAAAGGGCCTCCAAGCCTCCAGGCATATTCCCTCTCCCTCCCTTAGAGCAGTACCCGGAACACCCTTGTTAAACCACCCTAGGAGTTTGTCCAGACTTGGCCATCATCGACCTCTTCTGGTGCGGGTGCTACTGGGCGCAACACAGCGCCCCAACCGCACCAAGGCTCTGGGCGGGTCTGCAAAACTGCGGAACCAGCCCGGGAGTGGTGAGCCCACCCASGCGGTGGTGCGACCTGCGGCGCCTGGCCGTCAGTCTCCCGACCTGCCAATCTCGGTGTGGGGCGTGATCTTCTGTGGGTCCGGACCAATCCTGGAGCAGGAGGCCGGAGGCGGGGCTCCAAGCTCCGCCTAGGGCTTGGCTTCCGGCCTCCCAATCAGGGCACCACCCTTCTCGCTTCACGTCTCTGGTGGTGATGGACCCGGCCGAAGCTGCTCACGTGAGCGAGACCGTGGCAGAGAAGGTGCTCCAGTACCGGCGAGACGCCTCGGGCTGGAAGATTTGCCGGGAGAGCGTGAGTGAAAAGCTGGGCGGCAAGGGGTCGCGGAGACTGCTCCCTGGGGCCTGGACCCCAGAGTCCCCAGACTCCTCTCCCGGTTGCTTATCGCACTCCAAGCCCCCGTGGCAGGATTGAGGGGGATCCCTTAGGGGGTTGTTTCCTTAATAAATAGTGGACTTGTGCTCACAATGACTCTAGAAAGCAAGAATCTGCCCCTTTTTCTGAGTGACTTACCCAAGGTCACCCTAAATGGTGGTTAGATTTGGAACCCGAAACTCCAAGCTCTAAGCCTTTATTCCGTTTTTTAGCATGAGCATCTTTGTCCCAGAGGTGGTATGGGAATCGTTTTTCTTACTTAACACTTGTGAATTTTAACAAACACCCCCAAATTACTTACTTAAAAGCATTTAAAGATGATTTGAAAACCACCCTCAGCATTTAAGACTTCCCTCCCCATCCCCTGCGGTGGGGACAGCTTTACTAGTCTCAACTCTGCCTGAATGGGTTGGGTCACCTTGGAGAGTACATCCCCTCTTCTAAAGAACATGGGACCGAGCCAGGTGTTCTTCCAGAGCCCTTCTAGCTCTAAAATTCTATGATTCTGTGCCTTTTCACAGAATGGAGTGTCAGTTTCCTGGAGGCCATCTGTGGAGTTTCCAGGGAACCTGTAAGTGCACACTTGCTCAAAGCTTGTCAGAGAGTTTGCTTCTCAAAAGATTCCAATCGACCCTAACACACTGTGATCAACTAACCAATTATCTTCCCCAAAAGCACTAGCTTCTGTTTATATCTAAATAATTTCCAGCAAGCCACATTCCTGTACAACAAAATAAAAACAAAAACACAGCACCTGTTTCTGCAGGCCAAAGGGGGGGTGGGCTAACATATTTCAGCCCCTTCTCTGCCAGCCTGTCCTAAGGAAATATGATGGCTTTGGCATGGTCCACCTTCCATTCCTTAAATATAATCCCAAGATAAACAAGTTTGATTGATGCTTTGGGATCAAATTCCTTTTTGTGCTTCAGGTATCGAGGAGAAGGGATTCTGTGTGCGACACCAGAGGAAGTATGGGACTGTGTAAAGCCAGCTGCTGGGGGCCTTCGAGAGAAGTGGGATGAGAATGTGACCAGTTTTGAAATAATCCAAAGCATCACGGATGTAAGTTTTTCCAAACATGTTATCCATTGACATTGTCTGGGCCCTGCTGCAGTAACCTGGCCCCATCTCCTCTGGAGGGTGTCTGTGACACTTTTTGGTAAAGAGCATGTTCTGTACATACTGGCTGCCCACTGCTTGAAACACTCTAAGCCAGCCTTGGCCCAGATATAGGGAGGAAACCATGACTTTGAGAGGCAGAGAAGACCTTAACAGAACCAAGAAAATATAGATGGCAGTAGTTGATGAAGTACCAAATGAGTCTAGGCTCCAAGGACACCAAGGCAGTGCCTGGATTTGTTAGTTTGCAATAGTGCCCCTTGATGGGGCCAAGAGAATGAGTGGAGAGACCTTTGGCATGGAGTCAGAATTCTCTGCCAGCTGTGGAGCTGTGCCAAGTGGCAGTTTCTGGATTACAGTCTTTCCTTTAGGAATATGTATACCATTCAGATTAGCCCTGCCTAGTAGAACTTTCTACAACGATAGAAATATTCTGTAATCCACTTTGCCCAATAAGTTATTCACAAGTCCCCTGTGGCCACAGAGAATTAGAAGGTGGCTAGTTTGAGAAAATGAATTAAGTTTATTTAATTAATCTTAATGTAAGCTTAAATAGCCACATGGAGCTGGTGGCTATCAGAGTAGAATTCAGATGTTGATAAGTCTGCCCTGTGTTGTGTTAATTCTGCCTTGTGTTAATTCTTCTTTAATTTTAATCTCTTTGATGATTTAAAGGGGACTGTCTCTGGTGCTGATGTGCCCTTGAAACCTGTGTCACATTTGTTGATCTCCTTTATAACAATATAGATAGCTGGTCCCAGGGTCAGAATTACCAACTTTGCATTGCTTTTCATTTATAGCAAGTGTTTTTTTTTTTTTTTTTTTTTTCATTTCTGATAACTTCCTTTTAAAATCAAGTGATCTAAGTTTTTAAAAGGCAGCACATTTAGACAGCAATATTAAGTGAATTAACATGATGGGTGATACCAGAAATAGCAAAAAAATTAAGAGAGTATTCAAATAATCATGCAAATGATTGAAGCTGAGGAAACTTGTGTTAATGTCCTTTAAAGAATAATACAACTGGGCATGATGGTGCATGCCTGTAATCCCAGCAACTCAAGAGGCTGAGGCAGGAGGCTAGCAAGTTTGAATCCAGCCTGGGCAACTTAATGAGACTCTGTTTCAAAATTTTTAAAAAATGGTAATTATTTTAAGAAGGGCTGAGGATGTAGCTCAGTGGTAAAATGGGACAGGGTTCAGTCCCCAGTAAAAAAAAAAAAAAAAAAAAGTAATATATGGAATTTTTTTAAAAAATAGTTTTTATATTATATATTTTATATATTTTTAAATATTTTTTATATTTTTAGCATGTTTGCAGTTCTTTGGCTTCACACAGTGACTGGTGGGAGTGAGAATAAAAGGCTTCAAAAGTTAGAGGATAATACTAAAATGCCATAACAATGATTAAAGGCTAAGCTGTCATTTACAAACTCAGAGTGCTTTAACTGAAACCTTGAAGAAGGGAAATAGTTTGACAGAGGTAAAGAGAAGCACCCAAGTTCACACAGATAAGAAGCTGACCTGGGACCTGAGAGCCACCTGATAGCTCCAGCTTTCCTGCCTCTCAGCCACCACAGGTGCCAACTATCTTCCAGAGGAGCCCAAGAACCTCTTTCTACCCCACTGCCTTTTCCCCAGCTCCAGTTCTGGGTTCTGGTGACCTCATCCCTCAGAGGCCCACAGAGTTCTGTTTTCCTCATTGTTATTACACTGTAAGCTCCTTACTTTTCCCATCTTGCCAGAACCATACAAGATAGCCAGCTGTTCACCTATGCTGAATTCTACATTGGTGCAAGTTGCTATTGCCTTCTTGATCATCTTGCTAATGGGTCATGCTGGCAGGTCTTCCTGCTYCTCTTGTACCCTGGTTTGTGCCTGTGATGCCTGCTTCCCGATATGGGGCTGCTGCTCCAGGCAACACAGGGCACTTCATCCCTGGCTGGGCCACAATTTGCCSATGTATCCTGCCTGATCCCAGTTAGTCTCTGATGCAAGGGTCTTCAACTTTTTTGCTTACATACCTCTGACAAATTTTTGAGAAATTTTTCATGACCCCACAAATCTAGTTGACAGCTAAATTTTTGTAAGTTGCAAAGCCTGGCATTTCTGACATATTAATAAGTTTGTCAATTTTGAACAAAGTATTGGTATCATTCTTTTAGTTGTATCTAAATAGCATATGAATTTGTATTTACTGTCACCCATTTTAAAAATATGAGTAAGTTTTTCTTTAAATAGTCAGAAATCGTATATAATTAATTGTTTTCCTTGAACTCAAATTTCCATTTCATGCAACTCAATGAATTTTATCTTAATATACTGCATGTTATTCTTGGAAGTCATCATCTTACATCATAGATACGCATATAAGTTGAAATTATTTTTTAATTGTATCTTTCCTTTGACTATAAGACTAATTGTATTTTTTTAATCTGGATTGAGGTATGAGTATAATTTATTAAAATGACAAGATTACATTACAACTTTTGATGGGGAATTATTAAACACACACAAAAAAATATTGTGCATCTCTGGATGAGATAAATGGAATTCTTTGTTTTAATTAATTCATGTGTCCATGAAAAGATATAATTTCTTGCCAGAGAGATACAGTCTTCAGTAGACATTAACTGAAAATAGCAGAGGCTACTACATGCTACTGGTTTACAAATAAGCAGAGAAGAGCTGACAATTGGTAGCTCTTAACAATTTAGTGAAAATAACAAAATATGGAGAAAAGGCCCTTTCTTATAGATTGGCATTTCTTGGCATCATTTTGACAAATTTTAAATGTTCTAATTCTGAAATAGACATCAGATCAATGGATGGGTTGAAGAAACATACCATGAATATGTTGACATCTGTGACTTGCTATGGACCTCGTCTTGGTCTCCAGACACTTTCTCTCAGAAATGATATATTTGAGACTAATAATCAGAAGTATATAATTATTTTCCTTGAACTCAAATTTCCATTTCATGCAACTCAATGAATTGCATGGAAGCAGTGAGGCTATTTTTTAAAAAAGTATTGAATTATATTGTTATATTGTGTGTATGTACAAGTATGTAACAACCAATCCTACTATTATGTATAATTATAATGCACCAATTTAAAAAAAAAAAAAAAAAACTCTTTTGCTATTCTTTTCTTCTATGAAATACCAGAATTCAGAAATATCGAAATCGCCTTGTTTCTGACCCCACACTTTCAACTATGTTTAAGAAAGGGAAAAACATGAAATTCTAACCCCAGTGTATATGACACCTTGATTAAATATTTAAATCAGTGTTCCTGATTGTCTTTGGTACCCTAGGGATACACCCAGAGAGAATTCATGATAGGGTGATTCTACGTGAGGGAAGATGGGAGAATGCTCTTTTTGTGTGTGGGGGGGTGGGTTTTTTGTTTGTTTGTTTGTTTGTTTGTTTTTAAGCAGGAAAAGAGACCCTATCTGCAGATGCAGCCAATTTAGGAAGTGAAGTCATCTGGAAGTTCATCCCCAGTATACCTAGTGGAAAGTTCTTTAGCATCACCAGGGCCTCCCTCTGGGCCCTCATGTGCACAGTGCCATGCTTTCCTTTTCCCCAGACCCTGGTAGACAGGGGAGAGCTAGGAGAAGATCTCTGACCTTCAGACACAGCTAGGCTCCCTTTTTCTTTGGCAGACACTTTGCATAAGCAGAACCTCCACCCCCTCAGCTGCCATGAAGCTCATTTCTCCCAGGGACTTTGTGGACTTGGTGCTAGTCAAGAGATATGAGGATGGGACCATCAGTTCCAATGGTGAGTGACAACCAGGTGCTGTCAGGCCTGCCCAGGAGGCTGGGCTCTCTCCTCCACTCCTCAGATTCTTAAGGAAAGCCAAGCAGCTGGAAACCAAGCAGTAGCGGGGTATGACCATCCCTACTGCACATTCTAAACAATGATCATCTCAATAACAGTATGTGCCTTGCCTTCACAGTTTGGGGGGATTCCATGCCATGAGGGTCTGAGGTGGGATAATCCTTGTGCCAGTAATTTTATTTATATAGATATATTTATTTAGTCCCAGATCTTGTCAGCACCCCTTCTTGTTCCTGCTGAGACTCGTAGTTTGAGCTGTGGACATGCAGGTTACAGTTGGGTATCACAAAACCTTGATATGCAGTGACTCACTGAGTTCATGGATGTGTCCTCCTGAGAGGGTTGGGCACAGTCCACTCCCTTCCTGCTCAACAAAGAGCAGAGCTGCTACCACACAGCCCATACTGTTCCTCTGAATCTGCCTCATGGAGGAGATTATAGAYACATCCCCGCTTCTGTCAGCTGAGATTTAAGAAAGGCACCTTCCTCCTTCCACCCCCAAACCTTGTATTATAGAATATTCTTTGTTCCAATATTCTTATCGGCTTGGGGAAGCTGCATGTGGGAGTGTAATATTTGTGTGTGTGGATTTGCGTGTGTGCGCATGTACGGGAATGTAAGTGGGTGTACAGGGTGGGGAAGAAATTTGAGGCCATGTAGCAAGAGTCTCTTGCCCTCTCGCCAGCTCTCAGTAACTGGTTCTGCTCACATTGTAGCACTTAAGTGGCTAGGTCTGACTGAAGCTGTAGATCACTGTTTGTCTGAACTGTCTTCCAGCTACCCATGTGGAACATCCACTATGCCCCCCGAAGCCAGGTTTTGTGAGAGGATTCAACCATCCTTGTGGTTGCTTCTGTGAACCTCTGCCAGGGTAAGAATAATGAAGAGGGAGGCCATGTTTCAGACCTGACTGACTTCACTCTGGACACTCTAAGAATAGGTACTTTGACTAGGATTCATAAGAACAAAATGTCTTAGGCTCTTTAGGCTTTGATGTTACAAAGCACTATTACACACAAACACATGAGTGACATAATATGCTAAAGCATCTCATACATGGGGGATGCTGTTATAATTTAAATTTTTGATATGTAAAATCCTTACTCCCACCCATAAGTCAGGTTGAATAAATGCCATGGTCCCATTTAGAAGATGAAACAGTTTTGGGTGGTTAAGTATGTATCTATGATCAGTCTAGGAGGTTGGCAGAGTCTGAGCTCTGGCAAATTTCTCCTGCACTCCCTGGGAACCATCCACCAGCCTGGAGCAGCTGGGAGTATGACCATCCCTACTGCACATTCTAAACAATGATCATCTCAACAAGGATTGGGGTGGTCTTGGGAGCTGAAGGGCAATCAGAGACCACACTGTGAGTCAATCACGGAACTGAGCCCGGGATCCCTTCCTGTTTACCCACAGCTCACAAGGCCAGATTTTTACAAGGAACTTTATATGTAATGAATAACCTGAAGGTCACTAGTGTATTCTGGGTGCCACCCAAATTGACAATAAAAGAGATTACACCTGCCAGTGTGTTCTTGTGTTCCTGTAGACTCCAAGAGGGGAGGGGCTTGAGCTTTCTCAGCCCCAGGAGGCAGGCCTGATGCCATAGGACCTTACTAGAAACCAGACCTGGACCTCCACCTAACACTGTTTGCTAAGCTGGCTTTTCAAACATCTTTCAAAGGACTTTTCTTAAATGTAACAACATTTTAAGTCTGAAAATAGCATAGCCATGCTTTAACACACACTAGGATTTTTAGTCCCCTCAGTACAGAGGTGCCCTAGATCCAGGGCTCTAACCTCTGCTTCATTTCCTTATTGTCCCCACTTGGCTGTCAGTGCTGAGAACTACCTTTCCATGGTGCCGTGTCTGCTGGAAAGGAATTTTTCAGAGTAAGAGTCCTCATATAAGATAGCAAAGGTTATTGCACAAATTTTGCAGATGGCCTGGTTGGGACCAGAAAGTCCCCACAAAACCCAGCTAGTATGCAGGTTTTAAACCAAGCATTGACTTGCCCAGCTCTTGTCCACTCAACAAAGTTCTGAGTTTTCAATTCTGCTATTATTTCAATGAAACTGACAAAGGTACATTGAGGTGGGTTGGAAGTCATAATATAGAGCTTGTTATATAATTTATCATTTATTTAATAATTGAGTGATTAATAAGTTATTTGATCAATTATTATGAAACTTACTGTATTAATGAAAATYATCACTAATCATTCACCTATTATTTTTTCAAAAGAATAGAACTCTAAAAACAAATTATTTCATTTACTGCAAGTGTTTTGTTGCTCAATTGTTTCATCAATGGGATGATGGGACATAATGTGTTAAAGATGCAAGTGTGAAAAGGGCAAATCATATATTTGTATTGTTATGAAAACAGTTTTGACCTTGTAAACCCCTGGAAAGGGTGCCATGGTCCCCCAGGAGCTCCTGACGTTTTGAGAATTGCCGCCTGAGCAGAGAGACAAAACCAGCTTCTGTGTTCACTCCTCCCAGGGCCTCAAACAGAGAAGGTTCTTGAAAGCATCTACAAACAAATCTGTCAGAGGGAATCTCTCTTCTTAGAAAGGAGGGACCCCCCCCACACCCATCAACCCCCGAGGGCCTGATGGGACTATAGGATATGTTCACTAGAGGCCATGTTCCCATCTTAAACAAGAAAGTACAARGTGGCCCCCTGGGCAGTGAATCCTGCAAGGGATTGAATGTGGTCGCTGTGTAACAGCCGTTTCTGCTGGGCCAGGCTCTCTTTGCCTGATCTGGTACTGTGCCAGCCCCTCTGTGACAGATGCCTAACACAGCTCTGCTGTTGCTTTCACAGAGAGCCCAATAAGACCAACCTGGTCACATTCTTCCAGACTGACCTCAGCGGTTACCTCCCACAGAGTGTAGTGGACTCCTTCTTCCCTCGGAGCATGACCAGTTTTTATGCCAACCTTCAGAAAGCAGTGAAGAAATTCCATGACTGATGCCCTCAGTTGTTGGCAAAGAACATCTGTGACTCATTGAGGAGCTCCACTTGCTGGAATACCTCAGATCTAGGAGAACCCAAGCCTGCTTTTACTCTTGGGCAGTGAGTCTCTAAGAATGCCAGCCAAGGGCGATAGCCCTCCCACTCCTACTTCCTCTGCCCTCTCAGGATTGGCAGGAGAGGAACCATTCACATACTTGTAATTCTACCTGTGATCCAAACTCACTTGAGGCAGGGTGGACCCAAACTTCTGGCTACCTGACAAGAACTCAGCTCAGCACTGTGTGATGCACTGTGGTTCCAATCCTGTATGTACCTCACTGTCAGAGGCCATGTCTCCATGTTTGTCCTAGAGAATCATGATGAACACTGAAACCAAGTCCTGAGTGCATTTTTTGGAAACCCTCATACATGTTTTGACACCATGTAAGATTTTCCCCTTAAAAACATGTCAACTTGGAAAAATAATTGTTTTGAACAATTGAATAAGCCTTAAGAAAAAATTCTTTCCATTTGGATCAATACTTTCCGTGGTTCTTCTGTTGGAATTCGTCTTCTGCCTTCTTTCCTTTGAGTGAGTTATATCACCAGTAACACCAGGGAGTTTGAATCTGCCCCAAACCAAATCTGCAGTCTTTGAGATTAGTTTTCTTTGAGAGTGACTCTAAATGAAGTAAACTTCTCCTGTCTGTGAGTAGAACTCTGGGGATAAGCGTCTCCTTCCCTAGGGTATCTACCTCTTCTTGCCCTCTATTAAGAAGGTCATAGCTGGAGTGCTCTGGCCTCCAGGGCCCCATCAGGTCACACTGCTACCGAGAAGGAGGGCAGAGCAGGCCTCCCTCTAGCATCCCTGGCTGGAATCTTTCCTCTAAGAGTCTGCTACTGGACTGTACAACCCTGCAGTGTCCATACCCACCTGTACATCTTCAGAGCCAGGGAGCACAGCTTTATCACCCAGAGAGACTCAGCAGGAAGTCAACGCACAACTTCTTTTACCTGTGTCCAGTCAAGGCTTCACAGCCAGAGTGATCCTCTAGCATTCCTTTGAAACCATGTCTGGCTTCCACCTTTGTAAGGAAGACCCCTCCTTTGTCTGATCAGAGGCCCTTCATGTGGCAGCTTCTGTTACTATTGCCCATGCAGGAAATTTCCATGGCATTCCACCTTTGCTACTCCAAACATAAGTCACTAAGTCTTGGATGACCAGTCACTTAAGGACTTGTCTCTGGCCCATATGATATTCTGTGCTGACCTTACATGATTCATTTGGCATCAGGTTAAACTGGTTTGAGCCCAGAAGACTCAGAACAACTGTTACAGAAAACATCACCATGCCACATGATGAGATTGTGCAGGCACAGGGAGTGTGCGCAGGCCCACAGGAAGACCCGGGGGAGAAAGTAGGTCTGCTTTGACTTTCTAATGTATGGAGGCATACTGCTTCTTGAATTTTGACACAGTGAGATAATGTATTAACCAGTAAAATGCCATACAAAGCAAAGAACTAGGACTGCCAGGGAGGGGCCCTTGAGAGGATTCCTTCTCATGGAGAGTACTAGGTCCAGGATTATTAACTGTAATGTCTGCAGTGTTGGAGAGTAACTGGAAATATTGTTTCTAAGCCACTGTTTTCCAAGCCTCTGTCAGCTGGCCAAGGACAGTGAAACCTCATAATGAAATCCTCACACGATGGAACTCAGATGGATGAGCTTTAGTTTCAGGGCCCTCTTGCCCATAACTGCCCTGAATTCTCTTGACTTGGAGACCAGGAACCTGAGCAAGAGAAGGGGACCTTCTAAAAGAGGGCAGAGACAGAAGGAGTACTGGGAGAGCCATGAACTCACCATATTCATGCCCTTGTCCTCAGACAACCTCTTCCTACCCACCTGCTTGCTTTGCCCCATTTCCAAGGAGTCTCAGGATCACAGGCCCATAATAGCTCCATGCTCCTACCTTTCCCCACCTTCCTTTCTCTTTCCCTGGGCTGGTCCCACTATCACTTGGCTGCTTGAGAAGACTCAGAACAATTCCCGGTCACATGGGTGCCCAGATGATGAGATTGTGCAGGCAGGGAGTGTGGCCTCATTGCCCGGTCCTGGGCAGGCACACAGTAAGACCCTGGGGAGTGGGCATTGTATTGAGATACACTTTCATCAAGTTTACCTCCAGTGTTCCTATTAAATCTAAAACCTGATAACATGATATTTCAAATTTCTTATCTACTTGCTTGAAGAAATTTAGGATGGGGTGAGCAAGACAACGTGCAAGAAACAAACTAAGCCCATTATTTCTCTGAATAATAAAACACAATCAGCTGATGCCAACTGTGACAAGAACACTAAAGGGGTTTACATGAAGAGTAGGAACCCAGCTGGGTTTTCTGAGTCCAGTCTTCTGAAAGATTCTTGGCTTCCTGTGGACCCTGGAGAAGCCATCAATTACATTAGCATGGTCCCATGGATTATGGCCTGGGAATAAACTACTTTGTGTTTTATCTGTGATCCTTGTCAGGCCTTCCCCCACACATTCAGTGTGTAGGAGCAGAAGCTCAGGAGGAGCTGGTATTCTGGACTAGACCTGGTCAAAGTATGCTGGGTGATGCTAATTCAAAGTTTCATTGACTTGTCCTGARTTTGGCAATCAGGTGCTCAGCGATGACCAAAGGTAATACCCATTGGTCGGGTATTCAGAGGTATTTTCCCAAACTTACAGAAATTTTGGCCTCAAAAATCTAAGAGCCTATTATTTATCTCTCCCAAACCACCGGAGGACTCAAATCTCTCTCTGATCACTTCACAGCTGGGCAAGTTACTTACTATCCCTGAGTCTCAGTGCCCTCATCAATAGAGTGGCACAGAACCACATGCTATACAAGGTGCTGTGATTACTAAACACCATTTCATATCAAACACAGTGCTTGGCATATGATAGGAAGGTGGTAGCCATTTTTATCTTATGCTTACATACATGGTGGTACATCCTGTTGATGCACCTCTCCACACCATGAGTTTCACCTTTGCTCTGCTCACTGGCTCTATCACCTGACACCTTCCTTGCCTAGGATCACTTATTCAAAAACAAATGTTTTGTGTGAAAGACTTTATTTTCCAAATGTGGCCTTGGCCATATTTTCATATCCTATAAATCTGAGTGGATTTGTGCTAGTTCTGACAGATTACAAAGAAAGCAATGCTACGGGACTCCTGAAATGAGGGCATAAAAAAGATGCTGCTTCTACCTGGCTCTTGCACTCCCGGGATGCTCACCCAAAGAGTTCAGAAGCTGTGTTATAAGGAAGCCCAAGCCACAGGCGTTGGCCACCTGTAGATGTTCAGGCCAAAGCCCATCTGCATCCCCAGGCAGACAACTCCGAGATGTATTATGAAATGATCCTTCACACGRTCAAAGACTTCCAGCCTTTGAGTTGCTGCAGTTGATGCCAAGTGGGAGTAGGGAGAGGTGAGCTCTCTGGCCAAGGCCTGCCCACACTTCAGAATCATGATAAAAACAAATGTTGCTATTATGGGGCAGGTTGTCACAGTTATAATACTCATATAAGATTTTGCAYAGCAGGACATGGGTTTCAGATCAAACTGTAATATATCCATTTTATTATGGCACCACAACATTATCATTAAACTTCATATATATACAGTATACAGTTTGTATTAGCCACCCCAGCGTGACTCTGCCTTATTTTGATGACAGTCCTCTTGCTGGATTGTTTTCCAGAAGGTCTGGACCTGAGCAGCAATCCCCAGGAAGCACACCTGTGCTTTCCCTGATCTGGGTGGGGTGGGCAGCAGAGACCCTGAGAATCAGCAGTTATGGGAGCTGTGTGCTCATGGCTTTGGCTTCAGAGTTGGTGCCCTGTCTAGGGGTCTCCAGTGGCTGTGGTCCCCTTGGACTGCAGGCTTTTCCGTTTGATAACAATAGTGACAGGTCCATCAGGCAGTGCCTTGATGACATTCCAGGCTTCAAACCGTGTGAGACCCTGCATAGCAGTGCCAGCCAGATGCAAGATTTCATCTCCTGGCTGGACCATCTCACTTTGTTCTGCAGCTGCCCCTGAAACAAGGGAGAAGAACATTATAATGGGCTCGACTGGTGATAGGACAAAACGAGAAGTTACTTCTACCCGTGATCTCCAAGGAGCCGGGACAGCTGAGAAGAGAATGACACACCCATTTCTTGGAAGTTTGGTGGTGGTTCCAAAATGAGGAATATTATAAAATGGTGGCTCAGCACTTAGACACCAGGCTCCAGCTCTCTGTGACCTTTGGAAAACTGCAGCCCTTGCTATTCCCAGAGGAAGGAGATTCTAGGCAGCGCCAAGCCAGAGCCCGGTTAGTGAGACTTCTACAGTTCACAGAAGACTCTAGGGTGCTAAGTCCTCCTCAATGCCTCCCTTGAACACTGAGCCAATATCCCACCCCCTTGCTTTTGGTCTCCCTTTCTTAGGAGAACAGTACTGGGCGGTACAGGAACAGAGCTGGTGAGATTTTCATGAGGTAGTCTTCATAGGCTTTTGGCTCTGAGCAGCATGGAGAAGGCCTCTGTGCCCATGTAAGAAAGACATAATTCTGTATGGTACCCACTTTTCAAAAGCTGCATGTGGAAACATGACTTTTTATACAGTTTATAAATTTCCCAGTTGACACCATGACCTTCACAAATAATGAAAAATAATACAAAATAATAAAATAGCTAAATTATTTTGGTTAATTGTTATGATGGGCATTGTGCTAATGGTTTGCATTGGTGACAGTAATCCTATGAGGTATATGCCTTTAGTATTCCCTTTTTATAGGTGAAGAAATCAAAGACTAAAGTGCTTCTTTCAGAGCTTCAAAACTGCTAAAGTGGTTGAACCTGCATTGAAGCCCAGAACTTCTGGCTCCAGCATCCACATCCSTTAGTACCTTGCAGCTGGTTAGTTATCCCCATAGGAGCAAATGGGGCCAGGATGGTGAATTGACTTGCTCAAGCTCATCCTACTCTAAGGAGGAGAATTAGCATTGGAACCAAGTTCATGGGTCCAAGTCTTTTGACTCTGTTGACTTTGGACCCCATGATAATTCCAAATTGACCTTTGAAAAAGTTCAAATTATCTTTCTCAAAATTGGAATTAACATGGATTCTGGGGGAATCRTCATATACACCTCAGCCTACTCTCTGGGTTTTCATAGCTGCCACAGAGATTCCTCTAACAAAACCAGTTGGCCACAGGGATCCAAGTAGGACAGAGAGCAGAGTTGGATGCCTTAGGGTGCCAGTTCTAAGAGCTCTCAGACACATACCTCTACCTGTACCTCTTTGCCTCTTTTATTTTTTTTTTTCCTTTGGATGAGAAGAAGTGGTCACCCAGCAACTCAGAGGCAGAGCTGGAACTAGCTCCCAGACATCTTAGCATCCTTTCCTGTGGTCAGGTCTCACAACA